ACTATTTGAAATTAAAACTAGACATTTCAAAGCGAAATTAACAACTTCGAGGGTCTGATACGAAGTGGAGGTCACTCATTAATTACAATTAATATGACGAACGTCGTGCAGTGGCGCTCTGCTTCGAGTGAGAGACGGAAGGTTTGCCAAACTTTTCCTTTTCTCTTTTGAGCAATCACGAAATAAAGATTTTAATTAAAATAACCGCTGCTCCCGCAAATGATATTTAAAAAAAAAATGTTTCAGTCCCGTCTGTCTGCTGATAAAAGCATTTCATTTATAATTAATTTTATATTCGTGTTAACATGTGCTTTTGCCACGAAACATATTGTATAATAGAATTATTGTAGCAGTTAAAATGTCTCATCCCAGCGAATTTTTGGTTGAAAATCAGTGTAGCCAACATGAAATCTGTAATCTCGTCGTTTTGCAACAGAAAAATAATGCAGATTTTTCCGATTTTGTACGTGACGCCGTGTAATCTGAGCCCGATTAAAAATCAGTTCCAGATAATCAACAATATCGGTTAAAAACAAAACACAAACCGTCGACGTATCTCTGATTCGACATGCAAATGAGATCAAGAGTGGTCTAAGTCGTCGATTATCTCAGCACGATGTTCGATGATTTAATTTGAATTCTCCTCTACATGCCGAGCATTTCAAATGATAAAAATGAAAGGCTCTGCTCCAAAACGTGCGCAGGGACATTAAATTTTATATTCGAGGTAAATTTCTGAGTCAATAATAATAATAATACGATTAGGTTAAAAATAAATTTCGTAAATTAAAATTAAAATCTTAAATTCTGCAGATAAATGACCACAATATGTTTATATATATATATATAAATATATATATATACACACGCGTGAAAGTGTTAAACTATTAAACGCAACATTGATCAGTTGTTGTATAGGACGTACCATCGTTAGGGTCGCAATGATCGTAATGTTTATAACCCTCTTTCTGCCAAAAATTGTTAATTAGCGACGACGCGACACGACGCAGGTTTGGAGACGGTAAATATTAACCATTTCAATGTTCGTGTCGTGCGATTATCCAGCGCGAAAACAGCGGTTAATGTTCGCAGTTCATTTATGGACGAACACACACTGACTCCCGCCTGATCGGGGTCTGCGGGAGGAGGGGGGGCAGATGCTTTTGACTTGTGTAACGAGATAAATTCATTTGTTGTCATGGACACGACCAAAATGTTAAATTTAAACCGCAGCTCCTTTAAAATTGACTGCGTATAATTTCACCAACGTTCTCTGGAAATCAGAAGACAAATTTGTTCTGGTCGCGTAGTCAAATTCTTTAACGGAGGTGACCCGAAACGATTACGAGCGCGATCGATTCACAAGACATTTTAGCTGAAGGGCCACGGCGTATATTGGAGAATAATATTAAAGTGAATCTTAAATAATAGAGTATCAGCTGAGGATAGATCAAATAATAATTATGCGAAATCTTCCACGGAACCAAATAAATAAAAATACCTTGAAAGTAATCTAATATATTTAAATAAATAAATAAATTGAGTGACCGTCCCGTTCGGTTCAGACAGGAGCGAACAACCGGTTGACGGCGACAGACTGTCTTTTGGTTTTTAGACACGAGCGCAAAATACTGGCGTTTCTGATAAAAGTGACAACACGAGAGAAGCCGTGGACTGTTTCAGTATGCAAATTGGCCTCCTCCCCCCCTCCCCCGTACAGTTGGAGCCCAGTCTGTTCTCCATCGGAGAATCAGTGCACGTGTCCCCGTCGACACCCACACACCCCGAGGCGTTACAAGAATGTTAATGCAGGTACGAAATATAAATTGAGAAAGGCGTCTCTTTATGTTTACTGTAAAGAACGAATCCTCTGGGACTGCGGACGATCTTAAACAATGACGGCATTTCGAGAATGTTGCACTAATGTCTTATATTTTCCCAGTTACCCTCTTAGTGTTCGAAATAAGTGATTCTCTCTGTGCCTTCATCCAGGACATGACAATTTAATTTCAAAGCTAAGTGCTTCGCGCTTAAAATACTGCGCAAAGAACTTGAATTTCGTAAGCCTTTTTCCGAGGAAACATTCGGCCTTGATCGCGTCGAACGCTCGTACCTTTAGTAGAACTTGATCGAGTGGTTAGCACTCCTGTTTCACGCTCGGAAGATCTTGAGGTCGGATACCAGCAATTCTCCCCCCGACGTGTTCCACCTGCCTCGTCGTCTCCAAAAGATGAATGCGTCAGATTTCGCGATTTCGAGATGAATTAACAGTCACGCCCTAAAAGCACGATGTCTGGTCGGAAATGTGTTCAACCAAACTTCCGCTACGAATGTCTTCAGGCTTAGAAGCCGGAAGTAGCAGCCTTCCGCTTTCCATTAATTCTGCATCCAAGATCTTGCTCCTTAATTTCTCTCGTCTTTGTCTCACCGCATCCGCTCCACGGCTTCAGAAAGAAGTCTCTCTCTCTCGCCCAACTTCGCCGGTTCTATTTATAAGCGCGGGTACAATGCCCGTCCTCCGCGTTCTTACCGAATAGTTTCCAGCTAGAGAAGCTCCCCGGGTTACGTAAATCGTTCCATAAGGCACACAATAAAACTCGTGAGACGCGGAGAATTTTGCTTTACGTACGGAAAATCAAAGTAGTCGACTCCTGTCTCCTTCCTCGTCTGCAAAGTAAGTCATCCATCGCCAAAACAAGCCAGAAGGGTTAAAACGTGAGGGAAATTTTGTTGCTGTATTGTAAAACAAGCGGTTAGAACGCTGGCCTTGTAATCCTGGGGTCTCGGGTTCGAATTTATAACTTGTGTTGGGCAAGGCCGTGGTCTAGGCAACACGGAGTTTTCCTCCGTGGCATCCCAACAATTACTCCATTCACACACAGAAGAAGGCAATGGCAAACCACTTCTGGATCATCTGCCAAGAACGTATATGAACAGGTCCCAGTCCGAGAAAAGGATTGAAGGATCCTCTTCATATGGACCTGTCGTCACACAGAACACTAAATAATAATAATAATTGTAAAACTCCAGAACAGAATGTACGTCAAACAGCGCGTGAGAGTCGAGACCCCAGCCTCTGGCATTGACGGAGTTGTGTTAGGTCAACGTTTAGTAGCGGAGTGAAGGCAACAGGTGTGCGTTATTTATGCATTTTCTGTCGTACGAACTCATTGCTTGGTGCATTGTCAGTTAGTGAAAAGGCGCAACTTATTTCAGCCTTTAATAGAAAGAAAGGGAGTCTTCAAAATCAGGTTACGGAGACTGTTAAAAAGTAGTACCCGAGACGCTGATGTGCGCATTCAAATGCCCGTACGGAATTCTGGGAAGAGAATTACGGAAAACGTTTGTCTCGTACTACGCGAGACTGCAGAAACGACCAGAATTTAGAACGAAATAAACACAGTCAGTGTAAAACAATGGTGCTCGCGGCACACTGGCTAAATAATCACCCTCAACCATCGTTCCAAGGTCGAACGATATGCAGTTGGGCTCGGGCGTTGAAATTCTCTCCCGTGAAGTCAGCGAGAAAACGACACACATTTTCGCGAGTAGAACAGCTGATAGCACGACGAACTTCCGGTCTTCGTGCTCAGAGCGAAATGGACCGTCCAGGCCACAGATACAATTGTATTCGGTTTTAATGCATTTAGCGTGACGCTGTTCCATGTTTATTTAATCCGACTGATTATATTTAGCCAATAAACTGTGTAAATGCCGAAGCGTGACTGGATATAAACGTTTATTCAAAATCTCGTGTTCGGCGAGAGGAGTTTCAGTAGCGTCCATCTGTGCCTACGTCTTCCAAGTAGCCGCATCCCTTCAGGGGTTTCATCTCCCTCCTCATGTGTGCTACATGCCTCGCCCATCTCACCTGATGTTTGGTAGAAAGTTCAAATTATGGATCTCTTCGTAATGCATTTTCCCTCCAACCTCCAGTCCATCATACGAGACCAGGTTTCACACCCATACGAAACAGATAAAAGAATGGTTTTGTATATATTAATCTTAACACTTATGGATGACAAAATATTCACAAGTGCGTGGTAGCAAACGTTCCTGAATCTTTCCTGCTCTTAATTTCCTCACAAATGCAATAATTCTGCTTTTTACAAATCTTTGAACTTTTCCCACGTCCTCAAAGGATTTATCGACTTCCTTTGTGTGATTTTGTCCTGTAACCCGATGATACAACATACAAATACTTGTCGCCTTCTCTGCATTTCCTTACCAACACCAGAACTGCTCTCTCTTCATCCAATAAAAAACATCTTCAACACTGACCGCAAGTTGAAGTGGTTCATTGAATTCAAATCTTTCAAGACATTTTCTAAAGCGGAGTTGAAATGCAAATTGCAATAAAGCATCGCCTTGTTTCATATCATTCCACGTAGGAAACGTATAAACTATGAATGTATTTACTATAAATTTCGTAAGACATTTTAACTGGTCCAACTAGTTTCACTGATACATATAATTATAAAAGAATGTTGTAAAATAACTGCATCCTAACTGAATTATAAGCTTTCCTGAATTCTGCAACAGCTGACGTACACTTCCGTTGTATTTCCATCTTTACTACAGCATCCGATTACGGTTGATCAGTCGTCAAATTCCAAACTGATGTCCATAAATCTTGCATATGAATACATAACTTAATCTTCACACGCATCACCGAAACTATAATGGGGCCAAACCTGTAGAGTGCCCCCCCCCTCCCCCCGAAGCTGTTGAAAGTTGGAATTCTGCACCAAGGACTCGGGACAGAATCGATGGGGTTAAGAACAGGACCACCCTGTCCTTGAAGTTAGAAAGTTGACATAAAGACCACCAGCAGCTGTAGAACACAAACTATCTTGGTTTTGAAGCCCGTCTGCACGCGTGCGCAACCCCCAAAATCAAATTTCATTTACTGGCTTCCAACCGCAGAAGTCGGCTTAATGCACCGAAAACCGAGTTTCTTTCTTCGGTGGAAATGGAAATTCGTAAGATGGTAACAAAACTAGATCTGCAAACGGCAGTGTTTATTAACATTTTTTTTTGAACAAATTGTACATGTTCACAAATGAATTTAATGAACAATATAATTCCAATTAAAGTACGTCACCAAATCACCATTTTAGCTACAATTTATTGCACATTAAAAAAAACTACGCTCGTCTTGCGTGTCAATCTTAAAATACCTGACGCCTTCCTATGGAGTCAAATTTGTTTTTATTCAGCCTCAAAAACAGACCGAAGACTTTTAAAATAATTTTATTTTCCGTCTTAGGAACAAACGTTGCGCTGCACATTACTTTTCTCACTGCCTTTAGAAAGGAAATCTGATCTCATGAAAGCGATTATTACGTAGAAATATTAATCGCTGAAGATCATCGACACCTATCAACTACTCAATATTTTATGCACAAACACTAATTTAGACATGTTTCCAGAAAAGTCAATTTCATGCTTTAAGCATTGAACTTTTAGTGGAACGTCACTTTGCAGCCGAACGAAGTAAAATAATCGCAGAAAAAGCTACGGATTCCTTGACGAGTCAAATTTCATACATAAAGACTGAAATAAACGCATGCGAAGTGTATAAAAATATTTCAAAAATGAATGTGCAACCACTCTACATATATATATACACGACACGCTTAGTTTGTGTCCAAATGCATCTTGTAGCGTACAATGATGGAAATTATTGACTTACAAGTCATTAAGTTTTGAAATTAAATTTTTTTATATATATATATATATATATACAGTACCTCGTAACAAAATAACATAACAGGATTGGTCAGTTTTAAAATTAAATCTGCAACGAACTTTGTTCAACAAGTAAATTTGATTTTATAAAATTAACAGCTCCCACCTCCTAGATGATAAAACGTAAAATAACATGCACCAAATGCGATGATAAGCCTCCTCGACCAATTAGTATGTAATTAAACCACATATATGTATCATATAATTAAGTTACAGGGTCAAGTTCATGGTTTCAGTGTCACTTCCGGTTTGCTGCCGCGCGGTCTTCCACTCCTCAGACGCTCATTCCTTTTTAGTTTTCATCACGGCCTCGAGAAGAGCCTCTCTCAGTTTCTTTACTAGTCGCTCCATTTCATCTGCCTTGATCTTCAAACTCTGATTCTCTCTCTCCAGTTTTCCAGCAGTTTCTTTCATCTCTCCCTCTCGGACTTTCCTGCTCTGTCGGGATTTTCTCGACGCCTCGTTGTTTCTGTCCCTCAGCTCTCGATATCGGTCGCAATCGGAATCGACGGAAGACTGTCTTGACCTTTTTGATGGCGGAGTCCACGCGTCATCAGGCACGGAACGCGATGATGACCGTCTTCTCTGAAGAGACCCTCTGCCTGATCGAGATTCTTCTTCCTTAGACGTCGACGGACTCGACCGTTTCTCCGGCTTTCCTCGGGTTCGTCTGGATAATGGCAGCTCTTCAAGCTCAGAAACATTCTTCCTTGGAGAAACCTGTTTTTGTGACAGGACGTTCGTATCGCTGCCTCGTCCAGCAGATAGCTTACGTTTGGAAATCTTAAGTTTCAAGACTGGTCCGTCCTGTAAAATTTTACTTTCCAATGTGCTCTGAGTTGACAGATGTTTTCTGGTTTCTCGTACAGCTTTGAAGCCCTTTGTAACATTAGTTTTTGTCCACCCTTCAAACTGTACATCTGATTTTCCCAAAATTTTAATACTTGAAGATAGAGACTCATCTTCAATTTCTTCCACCTCCATGTGCTCAGACTCAATAATATTCCACCGTCCATCGGGAGATTTTTCGGTGACAAACGGTTCCACCACGCTAACAGTTGCGTCACCCTGAAAGCTGCCCAGCAATTCCGCATTATTTGTTGGCTTTGTGCCAGAAGCTTCGGCTGTGCAAGATTTAGGAATCTTGCCATCGAAGCCTACGCCGATGGTGTCTGGCCAATCCAAACGAAACGCTTGATCCTAGAATCCAACAGAAAATAAATTACAAATTCAGATACGAAAGCACGCAATGAGCAATGCTCTACTGCGTGACGTTTCAAAAGACTTTATACAAAATTGCAGAAGAATATGAAACTTTACGGGTCGGAGAAAAGATAATACCGATAACTTTGCGACACGGCTTTTTAAACAAATACCGCCTGAAGACTGTTTCTGTAAAGTGAAACAGACGTTCAAAATTCAAGGTCATCTGGTGGCACGTGCTATACGAAAATGCTATAAATACCAACAGATTATAAAAATGTAATTTGTCCCGCTCTAGGCACCTACAAATTAATGAAAGCCTGTCGATCACTTTTGTAGCGCACGCAACTTTCACATTATGCGGCATTACAGCAGTTCTGTTCGGCAAAGTAAGAAGATACTTCGCGTGACATCACGTCCCTTTTGGCTTCTACTTTTAGTTGTAGCGTATTGATGGGTATAAAAAGCGATTAAGTTTCATTAGATAGAAAATTTACACTCTTTTGAAACCATGAAGTCAGCGAAGTGATGGCAAGAAACCCCAACTGCATTCATATCGGATATCGTCATATTAATCAATTTTACGGGAGGAAACCACCCGTAATTTGACGTTATGATGGTAAAAAGACGATATACATTGAATTTCAGAATTCCCAAAATTGTTTCCAAATTCATATCTGTTCTTAAGCACTACTGATTAGTCATTTCAGTGAATCATATAATTTGATAATTAGAGACGCAAAGATGACAGAGCAAATAAAATAAGACAGAACTTACATCATCAAAAACATAGGCTAGCAAGTCGAATGGTTCGCCCTGCTTCAGTAAAGGTTCCAACACCACAGGCGTGCTGATGATATCATCGGCGCTCAACTGCGTTGCGAGGTTGAGTCTCAAGTTCCTCTTTGTAGCATTCTCCACGTTTACTGCAAACTGTGGCTTCATTACATGACCGCTAGTAATCTCGTCTTTCGCGCTTGAAAGAAGCAGATGGGGCTCTGAACTCGTACTCGACGGCAAGTCATCGGCCAGGACCTCTACGGGCACAGCATTTTCCAAATGCTTGCAGTTCACAGCCTTTGGCTGTTCTCCCATTTTCACAGGCACATCAGTTCTCCAAATGTTGGCAGCCATCGCATTACTACCACAAAATTCTTTGCTCCCATTTACACTGGGAGATGCAAATTTCGCAGCATCTTTTCCAGAAAAACTTTCTTTAGACCTCATACTTTGTTTTATCAAATGTATGTTAGTATTCGAAGGACCGATTACTTGAGACTTTGTCGTAATCGCGTTTGATACCTCGTTTGCAACCAAGGTAACCGTCGGAGTTTCAACAGTTCTTTGTTCATCACTGGTAATATGACAAATGCTACCAGCCAGGATATTTTTCAAGTTCAGGTTGGTATCAGCTCGCTGCGAGTTCCTATCGACCGAAAATATTCCGTTAACGGCCTCAACGCCGAAATCAAGACCCAAGAGAGATTCTAAACTCCCGCTTCCAACGCCGATTCCTTTGACGGCACGGTTGCTTACTTCGACTGATTCACAATTTCCAAAGTCTATGCGTTTTACTCCACTTTGATCTCCCAATTCATTTGCATTTACCATCAATTTCAAATCATCCGGTTCCTTATTTTCCGTAACTTCAAGATCGATTCTTTCCTGATTAATATGAGAACTCACTATCTCTTCTTCATGACCTACAGATAATCCCAAAGTATCGTCAACAAAAAATGCATCAGCTGGAGTAGATTGTGTATTGTCACTGTCTGTCTTCTTCACAGTTTCAAATGACTTTTTGTCTTCGTCGGTACACGGCATCTGCAGAAGGTCTAATGGCGGTGGAATTTCCCAACTTGCCCCATCACACAGATAAGGTGACGTTTCCTCTTGCAACGCACATGAGGTTGAAGTAAAGTTAAATTCATGAAGAACACCTGTAAATAAGAACACGGATCTTAACTAGAAGCATGCTACGTTTGTCTATGCGTTGCGCACACGCGCATGAACTGGTTTTTCACGTTGCCGACGGTTGCCTCCAACAGCCGAGGTAACTCACTAAGAAGTATTTTGCATATTCTTTCCCTTAAGTCAAATAAAAATATCTGAAAAACTAAAACAAAGTATTTACCTATAACCGGTGTATTTAGTTCATCGTCTTGTGCAATACAACTGGAACCTTTTGTGTCGTCCACCGTGATAGAAGAGGTACCCCGCGGCGGTTTGCGACACCAACTGCTCAGGTCTTGAAAGTTTTCTCCCCACTGACCCAGGTCCAGAGTTGGCGATAACGTGGATGGCGGGAACATAGACGCTGCCGAATCGATGTTTTGTGACCATGTTGCTGTGAGCGAGCAAACAAACAGTTCACCAACATTTCCAAAAATATTTTAAAGCAGGGATCTGCAAACATATGCCCACAGAAACTTTGGGTGCCCAAAAGCATTTAAAATATTCACGATCCATTTCGAAGACCTCGCATAGAGGCCGCTTGTAAGATAAAGGTTGAACGTCCAACGTGACTTGTGCCACTGCTGTCCTGAAGCTTCAGTTTCTCACAAGAGCGTGCGGCAGTCGGTCACCGAACCAGTACGTGAACATAATAAATCACGTTATCCAAAATAAATAACCATACAGACCAATCCTCTAAATAATTAATATTAGATCTTTAAGGTTATGTTTGTCCCGCATTGTCGGAGTTCACGTACTTCAAAACCCCAGCTTCCCCATAAATTAAATTTCAGCATAGTGATTAAAATAAGTATATCAATTGTAATAGTTCCATATTTTACTTCAAAATATTAAATATGAAACACTACGTAACTAAAAAAAATTACAGGTCAATCTGATTCTGTGTACAAATAATTTATTAACAGGAGTAAATTGATCCTATTTCTGTGAGAGATTAAGGCAGCGGAAATATTCTACGTAAAGGTAAATGGATTAGAATCTACTATTGTATGAAATATTATCCATCCATCCATCCATCCAATGGCACTACAGCATAAGTTCGGGGCTTGACCTCTTCCCATGTGGGAGATTTCCTGGTCTTTCGAAGTGTGCATTTGTGAGTAGTGAGTGACCAGTCCACTGACTCTGCACAATTTCTACTCGATCCCGATTTTGTCCGCTAGAGCCATCTAGTAGTGAATCGGGAGAGACTAGGGTGAGAAATCGCCACTGATTTTTCTCACAAAACATCACGTTCAAGCTCGTAAGGTTCTTGAACGCGCCGTAAACCTACCACATGGGACCGCCGGCTTTACTTCCCCTCCGAAGGAAGTTGTGCTATGGATTTTTATCACCCTGAAAAATCCCTCGCCCTCAGCCAGGTTTCAACCCGCGAACCTTGGGTCCAGTGGCGAGCACGCTAACCACTAGTCCACAGAGGGCGACATGAAATATTATCATGACTGTTAAATGAAGACTTAGGAAGCAAGAGAGAATTTGAATTTTTCTAAAGTGCACAATGGGGGAAAAGAAAAGTTTACGTACGTTCTTCTTGTTCCAAGTAGCTCATGCCGTTTGGTACTGCATGAAAGTGGTTTGTCGATTTCACCTCCTTGCAGGATGAATTCAGTACTCCCACAGAATTGTTTCCTCTTTGGGACACCTGGGCAACTGCCCAGATGAGACCGTCCTTTCTCTTCAACATTTTCTCCCTTGATTTCACGTAATGAGAGGGAAGCAGTGATCCTAGTAGCGGGTCGCATCTTGTACGGGACTGGACCAAGTAAAAATAACATCTTAATGTTTCAGTAAAACACGTTTCAATAACATTGAGGATACAAAAAGAATACCGTAGCACCCTGCAACAAAAATTCACAAACATACAATAATACCACATAATGTACTTTTATCATACCGCTAATTTTTTAAAAAGTGCCATTTGTGTTACATGACACAAAGTTTACCGACAGATATTTTGTTACACCATATTTAACATGGTTTAATTATGTTACATGCAAATTTTTTGAGTAATGTTTGTGAAGTCAGTTTAGTTGAAGTTCAGAAGCACGAAATGCCAAAGCAAATTCAAACTTGACGACTTCAAAACTAGCGCAACAATCCTAGGCTACCGTCCATCGGTGTGCAAATGCCATCCTTCAAAAATTATGGTAAATCACAGGACAGAAATTTAGCGATCTTATGCATCAGGAGATATATGTATGTAATTTGGCGATCAGCTGTAAAACTTACCAATGCATGTACTTACTTGCAACATAATTCTGTAAAATATGAAAAAATGTTCATACAATCAATAGCATAGATATCCAACATATAATGTTAAAAGTAATTTTTAAACAGTCTACTATTTTACAATTAATTTTAAATAAAGGGGTTATAATATTAAAGATGTAAAGCAAATTTTTTGTAGATAAGCCCAATCACTTAGAAGTTATGAATGTTTTTTAATAATAAAACAGTGAAGTCGGACAATTCTTAAATTTTGATCGAATAAATAGGAGCCAAGTTTTAAGCCGAAATGCAGGGTAAAAGGTTCTTAATAGAACAGCGTACAAGATGATTCAAAGTACTTTGCCACAATCTTCTTTAGTCCCTTCAACCCAAAGATTGTCTAAATGACATTTAAAAATTAAATTCCTACATCAAATAAAATACAGAACTTCAAAATTATGAAGATTGAGAAAAGAATCGCTGTTTAAGGATCATGTAACAACCATAAATATACTGCAAGGAAAACACAAGAGTTGATGATTGTTAAAGCAACTTTAAGATATTAGATCTTTAAGGTTATGTTTGTCCCGCATTGTCGGAGTTCACGTACTTCAAAACCCCAGCTTCCCCATAAATTAAATTTCAGCATAGTGATTAAAATAAGTATATCAATTGTAATAGTTCCATATTTTACTTCAAAATATTAAATATGAAACACTACGTAACTAAAAAAAATTACAGGTCAATCTGATTCTGTGTACAAATAATTTATTAACAGGAGTAAATTGATCCTATTTCTGTGAGAGATTAAGGCAGCGGAAATATTCTACGTAAAGGTAAATGGATTAGAATCTACTATTGTATGAAATATTATCCATCCATCCATCCATCCAATGGCACTGTGGCGTAAGTTCGGGGCTTGACCTCTTCCCATGTGGGAGATTTCCTGGTCTTTCGAAGTGTGCATTTGTGAGTAGTGAGTGACCAGTCCACTGACTCTGCACAATTTCTACTCGATCCCGATTTTGTCCGCTAGAGCCATCTAGTAGTGAATCGGGAGAGACTAGGGTGAGAAATCGCCACTGATTTTTCTCACAAAACATCACGTTCAAGCTCGTAAGGTTCTTGAACGCGCCGTAAACCTACCACATGGGACCGCCGGCTTTACTTCCCCTCCGAAGGAAGTTGTGCTATGGATTTTTATCACCCTGAAAAATCCCTCGCCCTCAGCCAGGTTTCAACCCGCGAACCTTGGGTCCAGTGGCGAGCACGCTAACCACTAGTCCACAGAGGGCGACATGAAATATTATCATGACTGTTAAATGAAGACTTAGGAAGCAAGAGAGAATTTGAATTTTTCTAAAGTGCACAATGGGGGAAAAGAAAAGTTTACGTACGTTCTTCTTGTTCCAAGTAGCTCATGCCGTTTGGTACTGCATGAAAGTGGTTTGTCGATTTCACCTCCTTGCAGGATGAATTCAGTACTCCCACAGAATTGTTTCCTCTTTGGGACACCTGGGCAACTGCCCAGATGAGACCGTCCTTTCTCTTCAACATTTTCTCCCTTGATTTCACGTAATGAGAGGGAAGCAGTGATCCTAGTAGCGGGTCGCATCTTGTACGGGACTGGACCAAGTAAAAATAACATCTTAATGTTTCAGTAAAACACGTTTCAATAACATTGAGGATACAAAAAGAATACCGTAGCACCCTGCAACAAAAATTCACAAACATACAATAATACCACATAATGTACTTTTATCATACCGCTAATTTTTTAAAAAGTGCCATTTGTGTTACATGACACAAAGTTTACCGACAGATATTTTGTTACACCATATTTAACATGGTTTAATTATGTTACATGCAAATTTTTTGAGTAATGTTTGTGAAGTCAGTTTAGTTGAAGTTCAGAAGCACGAAATGCCAAAGCAAATTCAAACTTGACGACTTCAAAACTAGCGCAACAATCCTAGGCTACCGTCCATCGGTGTGCAAATGCCATCCTTCAAAAATTATGGTAAATCACAGGACAGAAATTTAGCGATCTTATGCATCAGGAGATATATGTATGTAATTTGGCGATCAGCTGTAAAACTTACCAATGCATGTACTTACTTGCAACATAATTCTGTAAAATATGAAAAAATGTTCATACAATCAATAGCATAGATATCCAACATATAATGTTAAAAGTAATTTTTAAACAGTCTACTATTTTACAATTAATTTTAAATAAAGGGGTTATAATATTAAAGATGTAAAGCAAATTTTTTGTAGATAAGCCCAATCACTTAGAAGTTATGAATGTTTTTTAATAATAAAACAGTGAAGTCGGACAATTCTTAAATTTTGATCGAATAAATAGGAGCCAAGTTTTAAGCCGAAATGCAGGGTAAAAGGTTCTTAATAGAACAGCGTACAAGATGATTCAAAGTACTTTGCCACAATCTTCTTTAGTCCCTTCAACCCAAAGATTGTCTAAATGACATTTAAAAATTAAATTCCTACATCAAATAAAATACAGAACTTCAAAATTATGAAGATTGAGAAAAGAATCGCTGTTTAAGGATCATGTAACAACCATAAATATACTGCAAGGAAAACACAAGAGTTGATGATTGTTAAAGCAACTTTAAGGGGGCTGGTGTACTGAAACTCGGTTGTACTGTATGCGACTGAATGACATGACAAAAGACTGCATGAAAATGAATTTGGTATTTACGCCTGGAGTTTGTGAGAAAAGTTATTAAATCCTCGAGAATGTTTACATGAAGGAAAACTTGCACACAATTAAAATAACTGAAACTGGGTCGCTATGCTTAAAAATCAAATACTTTAACAGAACAAAGCAAGCAAAAATATTTCTGACGAGGGTAGAGGGCTGGAAGACGGCGGCTCAGTCACAGAACAGTAATTAACTGACATGCAGAAACATGTGCTTTTGGAAGTCAACTGGCACTACCAAGGTGGGGAACAGGAACAAGTGGGGGAAATCCATAATTTACCCCTCTTTCCTTCTGCTAGCCTGGTATAAAACTCAAGACCACCTACCCCCCCCCCACAAAGCAACAAGTTCAAAACATGTTTCATACTGCATTGCGCAATTAACTTTTCACTTACACTTTAGAACCAACACAGATGGCCCCCTCCCCCTAGACGAGAACAACGGATTAAGAACATGTCATAAGGAAGAATGCGGGGAGAGATAAGATGAGCAGCGGCTTTTGGGAAGACGTTAAGGCTGGAAAGGCTTCACTGCTGACAACACACAAAAAAGCGTAGTAAACATCTTAGATAGAAGGAAATAATATGTGAATATTAACTCTCAAGAAAATTATCCTTTGCACGGTTTTCTAATTCTGAAAAGAGAAAAATCTCACCGTGCCAGAATATGGAACATGTGATATTACATCATATAAAATATCAAGACTGCAAGTGGAAATAAATTGGATACAAACCCCACACAACAAAATTCATTATCAAGGATGTTAATTTCACTTTGTCTACAAGATTCATCACTACTGCCCCCCCACCCCCCCGCCAAATTTGCGTTGTGGATAACAACATCACCGGAGTACAGCGATCTCAAATGTGGAAGAAAGAAGTGATACTGGAATAAAAATAAGTGAAGGGCAAATTTCTTCCTGTTTGACCACAAAGCGACAGTTGCGTATCTCCAACGGTAGCAGTCGGTGATGATGCTTCCGGTACCGCATTTCCCTACCAACCATTCAGTGACGTACAACATGGTTTGAGAAATACTACTGAACGCGCATTTAATGTTTCAAATGTGTGCCAGAAAATTTTACAAAAATTAGGTGCAAGTTTCCAGGAAATCCAGGTCCCCACACTACCTGGTCGGTAAGCTGGAAACAAGGACCCTCCTACACAGAAAGCCAGAAAGGAAATAAACTGAGACGCTGGAGTTAAGACTTGAAACTGGAGTAACAGACAAGTATTTCAAGGACATCTGCATAACGAACCTGGAAGTTGTTAAAACTGCGACCATATAAAACAATGGCAATTCATGACTAAAATGAACATGATCTAGTTGCGAGAATTGTTTTCCTGTAATCGGTCGCTTAAGTCTATAAATGATGGAGAAATATTTCAACAGTTAGCGTTTCTGGTAACGTCTCATTTTTCATATGTGGAGAAACAAATTCTCAGAGATGCTGAGAATCGAAGACTTGATAAACGGAGATATCTTTCATGTCGACGCGGTTAACGATGCCAGAGATGTGAGCACCCTACAGCATATGCAAATCTGGAAGCTTGACCACTGACCGCTACCCCATGCAGGGGAGGAGCTTAGGGCCTAGCCAACTGCCTGTGCAGCGACTGCTTCTAGGTCAAACAGGAAGTTATCATTAACCGTGTAGTCATTTGAAAAATAGTTGCTGGTAATCCATATACACCTGCTTAAAATACAGGAAGAAGTCCCAAATCGATTCAACAGAACAGGCTCAAATATGTTAGGAACGTACGCGGCTTTCACGCGCACAAATCATCCAGCCAAAGCGCACACATCAAGTATGCATTTTCATGGAAACACCAAAACTAAGTAACTATAAAACTTAAACATGCTATATATAAAAAGTACTTACACTCAATTCACCGTGTTTTCTAAAAGAAATGGTGACTTCTTGTAGTCACAGACTAAGGGGAAAGTTGAGATTCTCTCAACCTGAAAAAGAACAAACAAGAGTCAGCTGTTAGTTTGTATTTCCTCCCTTGTAACGGAATATGAACACAGGAATCTTCAAACTTGGCATAATCAGATGACATCAGTATCAACCTTGAGGTGTCCTGACGTTTCCAACTAAAGTGCAAGGATCCTTACGCTCTTCAAACATTTCTTCAACACAATGTACCATACTGCATAAAAGCCATTCTTGAAGATACTTTTCCATACAAAACCAAACTTGAGGCAAAAGGTTTTCATTTTCAGTCTTCCTCGACATTTCAACCAGTCCTTTCCAAGAAGGTTGACCATGTCAACGTCAAGGCCTAGCTCCACACCCGGGTCTTGTTCTGTCATCAATACACTTCACATACTTGCTCCTAAGTCAGTATACAGTCGTTACTGATGAAATTCCAGCAAGAAAACAAAAGAACAATTCTTCTGAACCAGCTACAGCTTTTCTTTTATGGTCCAATATGATGTACTGAACAGCCTACATAAATAGTAGTTGATGCAAAGGGCCCCAGGGGGGGCTAAATTAAAATTAGTTGGTGCTCGACATTCTATATCACAAAACAAATACCAAAATCTTTTTAATCATCAGCCAATGCTGAAGTCAACTTGATCATACTATAATGAAACAAGAAATGCATACATAGCATAATCCTGGAAAACTGACCATTGACCAGGGTGATTAAGGTAGCCTGCAGTTTCACTATTTAGTCACCTCACAATGAAAGCCTTCGTATACAAAATACTTGTTACTGTTGTCAAAATTTAAGCAGAGTTTTATTAAAATTCCAAAGTATAAAATTTAATATGTTCAGCCATCGAACCCAGGTCCAGTCCGTATTTACGCACTACTGACCAAAACAAAAATAAATTTTTTTCTCACCCACAAGGGAATACAGGCAAACAAAAAATAAGTATTTTTACTTTCAAATAGTTTCCACAGAGTAGTTATAAATATTTCTGTCTTCTGGGTTGTTGCGCCGTGTAGTGTAGTAGACATCAACTATACTACACGGCAAAACAATCAAAAAATCTTCACATTCACCACTGTGAAAATCTCAAATATTACATAGTTTGTTTGGAATTTTCGATTCAGTTTGGGTCATTGTTCACAAAACATTTTTTTTATATCACTTTCTGCCACGACGCAAAGACCACACCGGAAAAGGCCGCTCTACAATTAATTGCAACGACAAACACGTAATCCAAGTGTGCAAAAATTGTTCTTAATTAAACGGCACACACAACTTAGAACGGGAATACAAATATTACAAGCCTCAAAAGAGCCGAGTCATTTATTTGAAAAAGCATTATAAAAAACTTCCTACCAGTCATCTTATTGATTACTCCTGACCTTGCTTCTGGGTGCTTGCTGTGTGGAAATGACATGCGTTAACGCCATTTCTGGTAAATATCAACAGATCCAAAATCAAGGTCAACTTGAACTACCGTTATGGCTTAAAATCGGCAATTAGTCTTATAACTGCAATCTGGACAGGTTAAAGATGAGTGTAAATTCTCTCAACTTACCTTCCCAGGTTATGATAGAGTGTGCGACGAAGTGACAATTTGCGACACCGAAGAGCTATTTAGTAGTGCTTTGAACAAGATGCTTTTGGAACGTCAAGATGGAATGCTGGCGTGAACTGACTTGCAGTTACAGACCGCAAAAAAAACGGTTTGCTAGCAGTAATAACTGCTGATCTAACAAGGCCCAAGCAGAGAGCGTACTTTTACCAAACACTGAAACACCACACTGTAAAAGATGAACCTATGAAATGCGGCACTTTCTACGACGCAATGCACTTTTCATTAATTCTCTGACACGAATTTCCAAAACTGTTTCATGACGTCGAAGTGGACCAATGACCGCTTCGATATGATGTCACTTTGAGCCAATCGTGGCAAAGGAAGATAGAGATTTCCTCTTGAAACCACCAATAGCAGACTGCAGGTGAATGGAATTGCGACGTTGCCAACAAATTTCGGTTCGCCTTTCCCCGTACAGTCGCGCGATACTGTACAACCGTACAACGCGGTGGCCCGAATTACAGGAGCAGGAAAACAAAAACGAGAATTTTGCAGGGGAGGATTTCGAGGTTTAGTACTCTAAAGGCGAGAGTTACGCGGCGGTCGGGGTTCGATCCCAGGCCAGTCTGTATGGGATTTGTGGTGCATAAAGGGGCAGTGGGACAAACTTTTACTCGAGTTCCTCAGTTTTCCCCCGTCACTGTCAATCCACCTCTGCCTGATATTCCTTATAAACGTAGTCTCACCCCCCATCAAGAACATTGGAAAGTTTTCTTAAGAGATACCAAGTTATCTTCCTTTGACAATTTCAATTTCTAACTAAACACAGAATGTGTTCTTTATGTCTCCTGTAATTAACGTAAATAAGTAACATTGTGAGTTAGTTCTGTGACAGTGTACTGGAATCCATTCCCGGTGCAGGAGGTTTTTAGTTTGTTTCATGAAGTAGCCACGTTGCTATTTTACATGAAATAAATAATTATTTCTCTAGGTTCGTACTTTCCGAAAATCCATAACCATACATGTTTATTGTGACGCTATTGCAAGTGGCGCTAGTGTCGATCCACGTCACAAGTTCGCTCGTCAGTCAGCCACTTATGGAATCTGAAAGGTGCGAGTTTAGGGCCGACTCCAATGACATAACGTCCATACCATTTTTTTTTTTCCAGTTCCGTCGAGTTTAATCTGTGTCCTAATTACTTTAGCCGCGTGATAGGACAAAGTAGATTTTTAATAAATTACATTCCCTAATTATAGTAGTTCCTCCTGGACAATTAAGTAGTCTCGTTGCTTTCAGTCGCAATGCCACATGTCGGTAGTTGCGACCTTGCAATTTGTACGCTGCACTCGGAGGTTCGAAATAAAAAAAACAACTGTGCTGTGAAATGTAAATAATTCTATCTTCTGTTTCTGCTGAATCACGAACTGCGGGGTTTGGGGGGGGGGGGGGGGGGGGTATACGAGGTGCGATCGGAAAGTTTACAGACTGTGTCAATAGCGGGCGAACCGGATGTAGTACAAGCTTCTGCCGCTAGGGGGTGCGGCCTACAAAAGCTGGCAAAAATTCCCGACTGAATTGGCGGCTGGTGGGTTCGTCTGTCAGAGGCCAAGTAACGTCTGATTTTAAAATTAAAAGAGCTTTTTAAAAAACTAACCCAAACCTTCAGGTAGAATTCGAAAACGGATCCGCGTATGATCGTCACCCGAAAAGCAATTTCGCAATGAAACAGACTTCTTCATGTCTTGTTTGAAACTCGAATGGTACGTTCAGTTGATGAAGAAATTCCCCGGCTTTTATGTTCGTTACCGCGTACACATAAGCCCCGCCACCGGAAAGTATGGAGATTATGCACTTTTTCACTGATTTTTCCTGTTCCCACACGCCCTCAGTCTTCATTGTCTGGTGATGGAGGCAGCAAGGACCTCTGAAACGTCGGTGAACACGGCTTTGAAACCTTGGAGACCGCCATAAAAGTTTACGGATTTCAGCGTGTAATGGATTACTTCCTACCTCGAACAAGACTGCTGGAATCTGACCAATCCATGGCGAATCGTATCTTTTCAACCTTCCAGTGTCATTCTCAATATCAAATCAGGCATCAGGGAATGGATATTCAGACAGCGTGGAGAGGCATGTTTCCATTGCCGATTATTTTGGTACGGATTTTTTTAAAATTCTAAATTCGCCGAGTAACAAATACTGCTTCAAAAATTTCACGAATGATGTCTCTGATAGCTTGAACAAATGTATCAAAGCCAACACACAAGCATTTCATTTTTACAGACATAATTACAAATTTCTATCTCCCATGTGAACTTCACGTAATTATCCAATATTGTTTCGCATATCAGAAATTTTAAGTCATGTTTTAAAATGTGTCTTTCATTAACCTGACTAATTTAATTCACGACAACCTCACGTCCCCTTTTAAGTTTTATATCTTAACTCAGAGACAGGGCAGGTTCCGAGTCAGACGTACAGAAATTACCAATTTGTCAAAATTCCAAGTGCACGGTTGAGGGAAATGGCAGTCTTTACACTTCAATTGACATAAATGTAGTTTTCAAGCTTACATGTTAGATGGTATTCTGAAGATATCTTTTCATTCAATGCAGGCACCAGGAGTTCGCTAAAAACACATACACATTAACACTCTTCTCCTCATAAAACACAGATCCATCCAACATCCACTGGAGACGACAATAATGTGAATCATCTGCATAGTGTTCGACATTACCGTTACCTTCCGCGACACGCTTTGCTATCCAACTAAGAACAAACAACGTGGAACTTCCACCGTCACCCTACACAGTACACTGAGATGGTCCATAAATATAGACGCACGGCTTGAAGAGTAGTAGCCTGACGCAACAAACTGTGAACTATCGTCAATGTTATCCGTGTAAAGCGACACTTTTATATGTTCAGACTATTCCTAACAGAAGCTCGTGACTATTTGACAGCACCAAAATACAAGATTTGACAACACAGCGTATAACTCTGTCTCTCTCTCACTGGCAGCCATTACCAAGAATGACTCAGTAAAATATTTCGTGGAAATTACGTCACTGAGGTCATGTGATTCCCCTAAAAGATATACATGTTCAATCTTGATCAGGGCATCAATTTGAATGCATGAACGGCGTACGTAGAAGAAAAGTGACTTGAGAAGCAGAGAATATTGAAATTTAATTTTGTTCACCAGTGTTTTAACACACACACACACGCGTCCGATTTTCAGTGTCAACAGGCGCAGGCTACTGTAATGAGACGTGGAATGAGACAGGATCGAGTCGGAAGTGTCGGAGACATGACAGGTTGTAAGTAAAAATATGGATTTCTTTTTTTGCGTGACACTTTTCCAAATTAACAAGGGAACTGGTATATGCATGAGACACAGTAGTACCACCACCGAAACATCAAAAAAAAATGTGCTGTCCGACGACAAAGCTGTAGAGCTACCTGATCTTTGTGCATTTATGTTTTCTAAATGCTCTTCTTTGTGAGATTTATGTACTTTATGTTGTAAATCTTGATGATTGAGTGTGTTTACAATAATTGTGGCATCTCATTATCATCAGTACATGATGAACTTAAAAATTTGTACTCCTCCCCCAATTTTGTCAGGGTGATTAAGTCAAGAAGAATGAGATGGGCGGGGCAAGAGGTGTGCACCAGGGATTGGTCGGGAAGCCTGAGGGGAAGAGATCTCTAGGGAGACCTAGACGTAGATGGAAGGATGTCAGGTGGGATCTAAGGGAGATAGGAGTTGAAGGAGACTGGATATCAATTCGACGGGAGGCTGCGTGGGTCCCAGGGTAAGTCTGGATGCAGAGGCCAGAGGAAAAATCCTGTGCCCCAGCGGGGCAAAAACTAACTGGAATTATGATCTGGTTTTTTAGTACAGTATCGAAGCAATCATTTTCATCTTCCCTAAGCAATCTCAGGTGAGTTGCCACTGATAACAGCTGCCTGAAATGCACATGTAATTGTAATTATCTAATCATTACATCCTGATATAACTGATAACTGCAATTCTAAATACAGAAATGACAAGAGCCCACAAGTTAACCTTTATCAAGCATAACTTGTGTGTAGTCAGGTGGCCATTAGCATATTGTTAACAGCAAAGCCAAAGTCCAGCTGGCAGACATAATTTGGTGCTTTAAATCTCATTCCCATATTGGCCGAGTATGCCATAAGGCTCTTTTCTCATTTATAATGCATGCTGTATAATTGCCTGAATAAACCGTATTGCAATCCACTCCTTTACCTAAGAAACTAATTGTTATGTCATCTGTTTACTCGGCATTGTTGCATTAGTATATATTGCCGTCAACAATGGGCTTTCGTTATTGTGGAAAGAGCTGAGCTGTGAATCGCTTGTAGAAGAAGTGCGTCGTAGAATATATAATTTTGTGCTGTTAAAAACGTTTTAGAATATCACAAGTACTTATATAAGAATTATTAAGAAATCTGTCATACTGCCCTCGACTCTCTCCATTTTAGTTTTGATTAAATTAGTCATTGCACGTGGACACCGTGGTCTCTTACAATTGAACAAAGTTTGAGGTAATAGATAAAGGCGCATCGCACTTCACGCTGCTTCTGCGCTTGCGTATTTACGTCATAGCAAGATATAGAGATAGATGTAGAGATGTAGATGTAGATGTAGAGATAGCAAGATGGATGACATTGAAGCTAAAAGAGTCCGTAATGCAGAATATACGAGACAGTACAAAAAACTTAAAAAAAACAGAAGTATTAAATAATGAACCCGAAGTTACCAAAAATTAATGCTGAACGTATGAGGGATAGATAATTAAGCAATGTCTTAATCAAACTATTTACTCAATTGTAAAGCATGTATAAAGGGAATATTTAGAATAAAGTTAATATATAAACTTCCTTTCATTGTATTTATTGCCTAAATATAATTTAAATACAAAGACGTATTTACGTCAGATTCCCCGGAACCGTGGTTCCACTGTCAATTTTATTTTACAAGTAGATATTCATGAAGTAAAAGTTTATCGACGTTTCAGTGTGCTACTAGAGCGTATCTGGCCGATCACGCATAATAGCATTTTCCGCCTTCTTTCGTCCGAGAAATCGAATCTGCGTTGGAGGAACTTTAAATACTGCAACGTAATCGGTGATTACCGTGGATTATTTGTTTACAGACACGGATTTATATCACACATCACAGTCGTGATTATCTGTAGATAATTGTTCACTTTGTACACGTCGCGCAGCCAAGTGAGGATAGAGAAATCTAGGAACCATTGGGCCAGAGCAAGAAGTGATTTACTGCAATATTTTCGCCAGGTAGTTTTCATACCGCTGTGGGTAGTTGGTAATGTAGTTGACAACCTACATTCCCTTTTAACATGTTACCATTTCTGTATGTTGGTATTTGTGTCCTGAACTACGTGTTATCCTTTCTCTATGTTGGCAATTGTGCACTCAACCACGGAAATCGAAGCCATCTCGAAAAGTTTTGATGTGTGTGATTCCAGTTAGCAATCGCTACTTACGGAATTCGAAGGCTGTGGAAAGTGTTCTGTTGTGAGGTGAAAATGAGAAATGTTTAAGATATGCGCAATGGTTAGAATACAAACAGAATTAATTGTAAATTTAGGTAGGTCGTAACTAAAGTTATAATTTGTGTACACTTATTTTTTTTATCAGTCTTTACTTGTGTGTGTGTCAGTGAAACTTGCACAATTATGAGATGACGTATCAATTAATATTGATTTACAAGCTTTTAACAAGTTCTCCATTTGTGTTGTTCGCAGTATGAACATGCTTGTGTTCTTTGTGATGTAAATAATTTGTTAAATGTTATAAAAACCTCATGTTAGCTTGGAAGTAATGTGAAGATAACCCTGATTGACGTGTAGTGTTGTAGTGCCCTGCGTTCCTACTCCATAACAACAATGTTTCGATCAACATTATCAAGAGAGAGACATCGGCGTAGCCCTGAAAAGATGGAAAATAATGGATCTTCAAAGGCAAATGCTGCTACAACATTGAATTCAGTTGGAGATATTAAGGCATGTGTGATTTGTAAGCAGAACTATTTTGAGCTTTGTGTTAGTGAGATTTATATTGTAACCATTTGCCATTCCTGTTCGCAGATCGATAATTCAGCCACTGTTCTGCTCAAGATTGCCACTTTGTATGCGGAGCGATTGATGAGTGATATTTGTCTTGTGGTTGGAGGAACAGAATATCCAGCTCATCGTCTCATTCTTTGTGCCTCAAGTGAAGTTTTCCAGGCATGGTGCACTCAGTTTTATACAGTATTTATAGTTTTAATATAAAGGGATTTGTGTTCCATTTTCCTCTTTCAGGTTCAATAAGTACCTGCATTGTGTATAGTGGCTCTGGATCCACTTGTCCAGTGAACACCTCCACGTGCCGAGAGTTCTGCTCTTTTTTTACTCTTTCTTTATAACTGAGACAATATCTAATCACAAGTACAAATTGTGAAGCTTTTCATTATGTAATATTTTCCATTCTCCTTTTATGACTCTTGTCCAGGTCCAAGTATTTTGTTTTTTACTTTTCCTTCCAGTTTCTGGTCATACTAAATCAAAGATGCTGCGACTATTGTTCTGTCTGTTAAATATATCTCTTGGTTCAAGGGAATGTTGTCTTTACAAACTAATAAACTGTTGGAATAAGTACAGCTTTCAGTTCTGTTTGAGACTTAATTTTGTTCTGCTTAAGTTTCATGACAGGTATCTGCAAAATTTGATTGAAAAAGAAACGTAGCAAGTGGCCTCAGTGATGAATCAGCTTCTGGAAAAACATTTAGCACATTTTCTATTGAAATAATTAAAAATTTAATTTGGGTGGTAAAGCTTATACTTGATACATGGAAGGGACAGTAACATCACTACTTTTTTATATTAGAAACACTTTTGGCGCTGATGTACAGTGTTTGCTCACTAGGTGATGCTGATGAATCCTGAATGGAGTGAATCCCAGGAAAGTTGTGTGGTGCTTCAGGAAACACCAGCTTGTGCTGCAATCTTTGGGGCCTTTCTACAGTACTTCTACACTGGCCAGATTTGCATCAATCACCTGATAGTGATGCCAGTACTTGCCTTGGCTGATAAATATAATGTTAAGGCAAGTGTTATCTGCCAGTGTATCTTCGTTAGGTGCATATTTTTGAGGTCCCAAATGATGTTACATTAAGAAGAATACTTATTCCCCATCTGTTGAAAGTAACACATTAACAGAAACAGGAAACACGTTCCGTGAAATTAAGACGTCCGCTCTCCTCCAAATGCAAATCATCATATTTGCACACTTCAAAATCTGAATTCTTTGTTGGTGGGCGTCAGGCCCCAAAACGTTACAAGGTGTTTAATTATCCCCCACTGGAGATAAAGTTGATGTTCGCAACTGGTTATTGGTTATTATTCGTTATCCATTTAGTCATTCATTCATGAAATAATTCCCATTAATCTTTAAATAAGAGTGGACTTCATGCTCTTATTGTGAAACATCCTTCCAGTCTGGACAGAATTCCTCGAGTCCTTTGCGTGAAGTGCACATTGAGAATGCGTTATGGCAGGTCATGTACGTCCACTCGATTTGACTTAAAAAGTACTGGATGGATGAAACACTGTGAAGGTTGTGCTGTTGTCCTCTTGAATGTCCTGTGAGTGGTGATAACAAAATGGTGGATGAGGAAAGTTGTGATGTGGCGGTCAGAGCGGGAAGTATGGTCGGAATCATTAAATAAACCACGTAAAAATAAATTAAGCCTTTGATTGTTGATCAAAGACCATTCTTTTTACAAGTTTACGAACAAAGTGTTGTTTTTTGTGACATGGGAAGAGAAAAGCAGGATCCGAGGTCCTCGGAGCAGGATGTATGACGATGGCCGTCTATTTGGTTGTAGCGAGTAGTCTGGTAGAAGTTTACTGATGTTGCAAAGGTGCTTGCTGCCTCCACCGTCAGGGCGAAATGTTGATGAACTTCTACTGGATGACATGGCACTACACCCCAGAAGACAGCCATCTTCAAGTGAAAAGCAGATTGTTTTACTTTTTTAATATTTCGTGTTTATTTATGTAAGCTGTTCGGTCAGTTTATGCGACCTATATGCCGACTCATTTTTTATTTTTTTTTATTTCAGGACTTGGTGAAGCTGTGTATCGAGTACATGTGTGAGCACATAGCACACGCTGCTGCAAACAATCAGCTCATCTCGTGGTTGCAGTACACATTAACGTGCGGCCACTACCAAGTCGCGCGGGTAAGGCAGCTAGCGAGTTCGGCATTTTAATGAGTGAATGTTGGGTTATTCAAGTGTGCTTTTTCATCTGCATAGATTATACAGTTTCGAATGATAAAATGATTGCAGATGATGGATTAGAAAGGATTTGTCAGTGGTTCTGACGCATTGCAAGGAACTTCTGCCGATCAACGTGGGCTCTTCTGAACAGTGACCAGGGATGCTTTCCCTTCGCTCTAATTCGCTGCACCACTCTCAATTCTATTATTTTTATTCATTCTTGTACCTACCTGCCCCTTTTGCACGCTGATTATCCACCACATTAGCACATCTAAATTGTGGTGCACATATGTGACTGCTTTCCATCTCACTTTGTGGCGTTAAGGCCCCATAGTTTAGAAACTCCTATCTATGTGATGCACCATTTTGATTCCGCTGCCGCAATATCCAGGTGTGAGAAACTCGCTCTTCAAACACATATGCTCCCATAGACTGCAAGGAGTCTGGCGCCTTTTGTATGCCCCAGGGTAAATTCTCTGATGTGCTTCGTAAGATTGGGTATGGCGGACATCCTCCATCCAGGCGCCGACCAGAGACCTCCTAGGCTAATTTCTTCCCAGTCTTCCTGATGCGATTAATTCCGTAGGAGGCGACAAATATCATTCCGTGAACAAGATGCCAGCAGACATTATAAGGAGAATTAATCCGTGTCAGATGTTAATGAACCAGCAAAGATGAGGCCGTTCTTTTATGTTTTTCAGGTGTGTCAGAACTTTGTAAAATGGAACCTGGAGCTTGTGGCAGAAACAACAGATTTTGGTAACTTTGAGCCGGAGATTCTTGTGAGTCTGCTTCAGCAGAATGACCTTGTAATCCACAATGAAATGACACTCTACAGGTAAACGCATCAAGTCTTCTGTTCTGTGCATTATCCTGATCTCTGTACCTTCAGTTGTTGATGTACACAGTTACAGAGTAAAAGAATTGTGCATTTGAATGTGCGAACACTGTGGCTGAGCGGAACTTGCTCCTGTTTCATCCCGTGTGCAAATATCAACCCTGATCCTGCAACTCGCTAGGACAAAACTTCTTCACGCCAGAAGTGCAATTCATTTCCAGTTCTTAACATGCGACCACTGCCGCCTCGTACGCTATACTTATATATGGTTAAAAATAACATCTCGTAAGCTTTACGTCTCTCCAAGTAGAAGTGCAATTAATTTCCAGTTCATAACATGCGACCACTGCCGCCTCTCAAGCTATATTTATATATGGTTACAAATAGCATCTCGTAAGCTTTACGTCTCTCCAAGTGCATTATCAAAGGAGTTGGGGAGTGGTATTTTATATCCTCTGTTTCAAAAACCACTCGACAGAAATTAAGACGAAAACGAGGCATTGACGTTCATCTCTGAGGCCAGTACGTGTGCCAGTTTTCAGAATCTGCTGTGATTTTGTACGGGTCTTTGTGATGGTAGAAATCAATCAATCCTTTGTGATTTAGCGTGTGCTGGACCGTTTTCATTCTTACCGAACCTACTGTTAGGTGAAGGTAGCAAAAACGTCTGAGTGTCAGTCATTACCAGTTCCTTTATTCATATTTACATTTTTATCCTTTGAAACGTAAATTACTTCCTGAGATTGTCTGTTGCGACTAGATGAATGTAGAATTATTTGCAGTTTAAAATGCATGTAAAATTCTTTGAAAGTAGATGAAGCACAAGTCGTAACGTTACGTTTATTTTCAGTTGTGTAGTTAAGTGGTTGAGCCTGCAGAAGGAACGGTTGTCTCGTGATACAGCGGACACAAGCGACGATGTAAATGCTCACATGGGACAGTTGGTGGTGGAGGTGATGTCACACGTTCGCTTCCCCATGATGTCTCCACGGCAGCTTGCCGACCTGCTCCTCTCTCCATTAACGAAGACTTACAAGGAATTCTTTGTGGAGCGCATGGCAATTGGGATGGCTTTCCATTCAGGTAAGTCGAAGGAAACAGAAAATATTTTTATGATGGGATGAGCACTTACTAGTTTAAATTTGGAAGACAGTGTTTTGATTTTCTTTGGGTAATATGGCCTTTAATTTCCTGAGGGATTGGGGGGATAACTGGATTTGTAGATTAATTTTATCTTTTTTCACTGATGTCAGACGTTTCACTCAGCATCAGCAGTTAATTCAAGTACGAGTTCCTGTGTCGAAGCTTTTGAAAGAGGGTAATTAAAAGAGGCAATTTGTTTGAGAACAGGTCAGACAGAACTCGTGCAGGAAGTGCTGCAGACCGAAGAGGGACGATTGCTCTTCACTCCTCGTCTCTACACGGCAGACACGTGGAGTACGCTGCTGTCGGTGGAGAACTTCCCCCTTCTACCTGCTTATCACACTCGTACGCTAGTATTCTCGAGTCGTTCATCTCTGGCGGAACATGCTGGTGACCACGCCTGCGAGTGGGTGGTCGATGTTTACCCTAAAGGGGTGTGGTTCCGTAAGTTTTACCTGATCGTCTGGCAGGGAACTGTGGAGATACCAGAAAGTGTGTTGCGTACGGTTCGTCTGTCTGTGATGTGCAAGGACCCTCCTCCGGCGGGTCACACTCGTGTCAAAGTGGGAATTCTTATTCGCGGGGTTCAGGATGGCGTCGAACACGTTAGGACGGTAATTGAACGTAATCACCACTTTGGAGAAACTGATAAAGTTTTGAATTTTGATGACTTACTATCATTTGATGAGCTGAATAATCCTCCAGGAGGGTTATCTAGTGGAGGAACAAGTAGTCCATACTTGGTGGGACGTAACAGGGACATTCTAAAATTACATATTGTAATCGCTCCATTAAGCAATGTGTGTAGCGCCAGTTCACCGTCATTCATGGTTAAATAGCCTATGACCAATTTTACGTGTTCTTTGTGTTGATTGTAAATCCGGCTTTGTGTTCTTCTGTCACTGTGATAATCTAATAACCCAATGAAACTTATTTGTGAAGGAGGAGTCTCGTTAGAATTTTGTGATAGCAGTCACACAGTAAAAGTGGCTTATAATTAGGGATTTAATTTCTGTGTTAAATGAAATTTCATCCACATGAAAGTTTGGGTTTTCGCAGCAGTGGAAATGTGGATCGTGGTAGATTACCATCTACAAGACTACGTGGCATAATGACAGAAATTCACGTTTATTCCATCTGTTTCTTATTTAAGCGAATAATCAAGGACCACAAACTGTTTAAATTTTCTAGAACATCAATAAAAATTCTTGGTGTTTATCTCCGAAGCTCGCGGACAAGCGTCTGAAAATCCGTTGACTATGTCGTCAGAAAATGACGCAGGTCGTACGTACTTAAATCTATAAAACTGAAGTTGTTTCTGATGTTTAAGCACCACAACACCGTGCATTAGATGGAGGTGAGTGGTTAGCATCATGCCCAGGCTGCTTTGCACCCCGAGGAAAGAACTCTCATCTCATTGGTTACGAGGCTGGACGTTGCATCTGACCCTGCTGGGAATCGAAGCACAGTTTTCTAGGTCACAGTAGTAAAACCCAGAAGTCACTTTAATAAATCTGAAACTCGATATAATCATTACAGAAACTGTCGACGCAATTAGGTACAAGGTATTTTGCAATTCGAGTATGAATGAAGAGAGAGTATTTAGAACAAGCGCTCTGATCGTGACATAGCAACACGTATATGTTTGTGAAGTTTTTTAGCTTTCTGACGCCTTTTTTTTACTTTACTTTTTCCATCATCTTTTACACATTAAACCTTATTATTTCTGAGATGGGTTCTATTTCTGCCTTCATATGATGGGGTAAGAAGAAATGTACTCAGGCGGCTAGCAGAAGATCTTTTCATAAGATGAAAACAAAACCCATTTCAAAAACATTGTGTTTTAATATGTAAAAGGTGACGAACAAAGTTTAAGAAAACAAAAACAAGCAATGCATGTGTTCCAGAAATGTCATTGAATGAAATAAAGACATTTTAATAAACTTAACCATTACGTACATCGGCCTTGGCACTTGGTGAATTATCTAATCTAGCGTAGGTGTTAAAAATGACCACCGTTGGCTTCGTGGCACGGTCGACGGCATTGAGCAACTGAATGACAAGCTCCCATCAAAGTTGCTGTTGTTGGACATTCTTTAAATATGAATGAACTGTTTGTTTAATTTGTTATGTGCAAAAAAATTAATTGTGAAGTTGTATTTCAAAATATTAAATAGTTCATTGGTGTATGAATGTTCCTTTAACCTGCTGATATAATAACTTTGCAGCAACGTTGGTGCCTGCCTCTAGGGAAAAGCAACAGAAGCAGATGTGGACAGGCCCTTAAGGCTTTCCTTGCTCATGCCAAAGCACAAAGCAAACCTGGCAATATAGTCCTTGTCCAGAAACTGTTTGTGTATCCAGAGAGTATTTTACATATTTTTTTAGGGGACCAAACTGAACTGAGAAGGTCCAATAAATCATTTTCTGGCTGGCTTCAATTGCCAAATTTAGTTCGTGAATGAATGTTTAAACCGTATTCAACATTGGAATCATTGCTGGCTGCCTCATGCACAGGTTCTAAAAAGTATAATAAGCAAACGGCATATTCATCTACTCGTATTTGTTTCTCACGTAGCTGTAGACCCGCAAATAACTGATCAATCTTGCCCCGATCTGCTGACGGCCTTGTGTTTAACTCCAGTCGCGAATGGCACCATTCTCACTAGCTCCAGGAACCAGTTTGGTGTCCTCTTCACCATTTCCTGGCAAATTGCCATTGTACATTTCTTTCTACATTGCGTTAGTCTAGCGGTGCAGGTTTCAATACTAACCCTCATATTCACACCGAGGAACAGTTGGCAGCCCACCATAGCCAGCACACGAGTCCATCCGTTTGCAAATATAGAAGTATAAGAGGTGCCAATAATATTTGAACAAAGTTTGAGGTAAGGGATAAAGGCGCATCACTTCAAGCTACTGCTGCGTTTGTGTTGCGTCATACTATGTAGGGATGGAATTGAAGCTAAAACAGTCCGTAATCCAGAATATATGAGACAGTACAGGAAACGTAAAAAAATTGAAGTATTAAATAATGAACCTGAAGTTCCCAAAAAAATAATTAAGCAATGTCTTATTCAAACTATTTACTCAATTGTAAATCATGTATAAAGGGAATATTTAGAATAAAGCTAATATATAAACTTCCTTTCATTGTATTTATTGCCTAAATATAATTTAAATACAAAGGTGTATTTACGTCAGATTCCCCGGAACCGTGGTTCCACTGTCAATTTTTTAGTTGTGGCAGCAATGAATTTCAACATGATGGTGTCCTTATTTTCGCTGGATGTGGAATGCATTCAGGCACTAAATTGTGTTTTTGTAGTTATAATTTAAACCGCTTGTTTGGTATTAGGAGGTAAAATTAGTGTAGAAAAACATTGTTTTGAATGGGTTTGCCTAGTATGGAATACATCGTGGGTAATCGATTTGCAATTTCGACTGCTCGTTTCACGTGCGAGATTAGTCTCGAAAAGCTGGTATAACCTCAATAACTAACCTTATGAACACCGCAATCTGGGTATTCATACGCACGTATCTAACCCATTCCAAAGTGCGTATGTTGCTCAGAAATGCTATAAAGAATGGTATGTATTTTTTTCAGGTGGTTTTAGATATAGGAACTCACGGAATGAATGCACCACCTGTAGTGAACCACTGGAATCCCCATGATATTCTGGATGTTGGAAATGTATCGTTTCGTTTCGGCCTTCTTGTTCTGAATCAACCCATAAATATTGAGAGAGAGCTCATGTTTTCTTTGTGGAACAGAGGTAAGTGGGAAATGAGGATTTTGGTTTAACTTGGTTCAATATGTATTTATATGCGTCTTATTTTAGTAGCGCAGACTACATAGCACAGGATGATTGTATGGTTAAAGAATAATAAATTTGAAAGGCAATGGAAGTGTCCGTGATTTCTGTACTACCCCAACATTCGCTTGAGGGACTTTTAAAACCATGAAAAACCTTAGCATTACCATTCTTTGTGTCTAGATTCGAAATCAAGACCAGAATATGAGGCAGAAATGCTAAACTCTTGGCCGTGTAGTGTATTCTATGTGTGTTGCTAATGTTCATAGTGGCATATTGAAAACAAACAATGAAGTTTTAAAGTTTTAACTTAATAATTCCTCCCCAAACTCCTAGCTTTGTGTGAATGCTTTTCACAATTAATGATACTTCCAGGAATGGTGTATGCTGTTTACACTTAAATATAATAAAAGTATATTCCAGTATATTACGCATACTTTCCAGATACATTATTTGCCATTTGGATATGATATTCCTTTAATGCAGATACAAATTTTATATTGCAAAGTACACTACAGTTGTCACATTTCATAGAATAATGTGTGACTGCATATTTTGCTAATAAATTATGTGTTCCTTTGAGAGAATAAATGAAGTAGGTTATATCCTGGTGTAATTTCAAGAAGCTTATACCTCTTGTATTTATTTCAGCTTCTTTGAGGGTAACTGTGGATGGAGGGACAAACCGTTGGTTTCGCTTTCTACAGGGTGGAAACTGTGTTGCACCAGAACTTATCACTGGCGATATGGATTCCATAAAGCAAAATGTTCTTACACATTTTAAAAGGGAAGGTTCTCAAATTATTCCAACACCAAATCAAAATGAGACTGATTTCACAAAAGCCTTGAGACATGTTCATGGTCACATTATAAGCAAAAACTTGCAGGTATGATCTTAATAATTTTCTGTGTCATGCGACTATATTCGTGCATGTAAAGCCGACCGTTTTTAAAGTGTCTTTCCAAACCAAATCAGCATAGCTAACAAACCAGCCTCTACCAATTTGCATGAAAATTGCAGAGATTTTAGGTATCATGGATGGAAACTAATAATAACTTAATTTTACATCTTTCAAAACTTTTATTTTTCCAGAAATCTTGGAGATTGTTTGCTTTCAATGAGTAGTTATATACCTGCACCCAGTCACTTACGGTTTCTGTTGTCGTACATAATTCTGTGTACTGATTTATCTGCTTTTACTCTTAGCCTTTTGTGTATTAGCTTTTGTTAAATATAACTTTGTAATTTTATTATTGTTACTGTGTTGTGTTTTTGTGCTGTATCAGTAATTGGCAATTTGACTTTCGAAGCAGCGCGCACACACTGTACCAAAGAATTTGAATTGAATTATTATTATTATTTTGAGGCTGTAGAAACAGATGTACTGTAATTAGTAATTAATTATTTCCTTATTGCTTCCGAACAGCTAGATGGAATAATTGCGGTGTGCGAGACATCCGGTCGGCTGGACCAGATTCTAGCAAATTTAAACACCTTATACAAGGCGAAAGACATTGTGGGAAATGTTCCAGTGTACCAGCTGGCCAAAAACTCTCTGTCATGGCTTCTTGCGGCAGGATCACATCAAATAAATGTTGGAGACGCGACAGTGAAGAAAGGCTGTTGGTGCAGTTTAGTGGCCCTTGGTGCGGGAGTCGAGCGCGTCACCACCACAGGCCTCAAATGGAATCTTGGTAAGTGCAATTATATTAAATCTCGTTCTTCAACTTTGTTCAAAGTGCGAGGTGTCTTTTCTGACCTTACCGTCATAACTCGGGACGTTTACGTAACGTTGCGGATACTGAATCTTACTGACGGACCCTGTCATAGTTCAGAGATTAGCGTTGCAGTACCGTACATAAGTCATCGAACTTATTGTGGGACGTAGTCTTAAGGTATTCTGTTTTTAACAATTGCAATTGCAGGAAGTTTTGTTTCTGTAGTTTGTGTCACAATTTAGTTATCAACGGGGATCGCGGGCTCGCTTTATAAATTTTGCGTGAAATGAAATCTTACAGAAATATCAGTAGGTTTAAAATTGCGGTAGTTTTAAAAACTATTGGAATGTTATTAGATAATAATTTGCATAAACACGTGGTTTCAGAAACTTCTTCTTTAAATTTCCAGCTGGATGTCAATGCATTAGACTTAAGACTTAAAATTCACCACTCACCATCTCTGAATCTCTCTCAGTCGGATCATTCTTATTTTAGCACTGAACATAAAGCGTAAAAGATACCGAAAACTGTCGTTGATAGTAAAAGTAGAAAGTGCAAGCAATTTAATTAGACAGTAGAACAACTCAGTAATGGGATGTCCAGCTGTTGCCAACGAAGCTTAGGACACGCAGCTGCATTTTAACCGTCGAAGCCAGTTATTAAATACCCACCGAGCTAATTAATACTGCAGTTGTATTTATAACTAACTCCACGCAGCACAGCCCTTCTTCGGAAGCTCGTATTATGCTCCGTTAGTCAAGAAATTCCCTGCGTTTCATGGAATCCAAATGTTCATTGCTACTGTGTTTACAAGAGCCTTCGTGTTTTGTAAAACTGGTGGCGCTCGATTGTTTCCTGTGGTTCTTATTATTGTATTTTCAAAAAAAGTTTGAAAACTTCTGAAGCATTTTGACACTGGATTTACAGTCCCGCTGTTTCCAGAAAATTACGTTTCTTTAGAAATATGTGAATTAAGTTTTTCCGACTTCCAGCGGCATTGTCTTCGATTTTTCGGCCCTTTGCTCATATATCATTCACTGAAGCTACTTCTGCCTCACTCAGAACTTATTCACTCTAGCTAATGCTCAAAATGTTCTACGCTGTAATTCTGTCGTAATAATCCTTATCTGCCTCATTTCTTAGGTTACAAATTGTAACATTTTGATTGTTAGGTTGTCGTCCCAGTTCAGTTCATAAGAAGTACAAGGATGTAGCTGTTGAGTCAGAACCTAAATATAAAGAAATTAATTGAATTATTATAAGAAGACTAAAATTAATAATAGAAATTTGTAAATTAACAGTGTTTTAGTTTGGCAAGTTCTGCTTGACGTAATATTTCAAGCCGTGCAAAAATTTCTTTGGATTCTTGTAGATGATCGAGTGATGGAATTTGGCGGAACAATCAGCACGTCAAACACGTACAGCGGCGATCCCGTAGTAACGGTCAAAACGAGCGGCTCGTTGGTGTGGTCCATGGGACTTTGCGACGATGATACATAACGTCTTTTGTGGGGATTTGTGAGTAATGACCTTAGTTATCTTCACTGTAGCCTGTAGGAATTAAGTCTCGATCCTTTCCGCGTGCGTGGCAACTGCAAGATTTTATTCAGGAGGAGAGGATAAATTTCCAGGCGTGGAGACTTTTAACTAACGCACGTGCGCCAGATAGTATTTTAGCCGCATGATATTAGTAAAGATGAACTTTACATGAGAGTTACCTTGTTTCTTGTCAGACCTGTGAGGTCTCAGATTCCGGTTCAGAGACTGGTAGTCGTCTCTGCGATGATTTATGGTTTTCTTTGATCATTCCAGGTACAGATACATGGGTATATTTAGCGCACATGTTCTGATTATGTTTATCTTTCTTTAATAAGAACAGGGCAAATTCTACCATAATTCTGTGTTTGCGTTCTGAACTGGTCCCATGTTGGGAATGACGTTATGTAATGAGTCATAGACATAATTCTGAGTTTGCGTTATGAACTGGTTCCAAGTTCGGAATGACGTTATGTAATGAGTCATAGACATTGTATCAAAACAAAAAGGCAACAGTATTTTTGTCTTTAGTACCGTTAAGTATTTTTTAGTCTCTTGTTAAGAGGATTAATGAATCCGTATTAATTGTTTTCTTTCTACAAAGGCCTCGATATTGTATCGAATCTTCGTTAGTTTTTAAGTTAATCTGTTAGTCACTGTCGTAAAACCTCAGAGGAGTTTAAATGTCGTGACTTTGTGATTGAATATGACGATAGCATCACAGTGGTGATATTTATCAGTTATGGAGAGGTGTGTCCAAAAGGAAATACTGATGGATAGAGAATGCCTTTGTTTTCCTGTATTTAAGACAACGTTGGAGCACGTCTAAAGATGCACGATGCAATTGTGACGTGCGGACGTACTTAAGTTTTGTATGCGGCACTGCTCAGTTCGTTTTACTCGCGCTGACTGCCGTAGAGCTTACGTAATTTCATATTTTCTAATATGATTACTGCCTACAGTTCAATGTAGGTTGAGAGCTTCAAACGTGAATTAAAGTTTTGTTGTTTATGTTGTAAGACTTTCATGCACAGCGTTGATGGTTTATAGACAAGGAGCATAAATTTATGTTTTATGGTGTAGGTTTTGCACAGATATTATTATGAATTTGTTGAGTGTGTACGTGCATCGGATAGCGACATAATCTACAAGTAATTATTATAATTTCTGGCCATTCTAAACATAAATGAATTTAGTTAGATGTTTGCTGTGGCATTCAAGGTGGAGGCATTTTGTGTTGTTCGAATGTTAGTTGTTTTGGTTTTGGTTGTTAATTAATTTCTTGCGCACCAAACTGATACAAATTGTATTAGGAATTTGTGAGTTTAAGATGGTTCAGTGTGTCAAGAAATAATTCTCTATTAATTTTACTTATTTGTTATACTTTTAAACATTGTTTCTTAGTAAGAATGGTGGCTGTATTTTGAGGTTTTTCCTCCAAATTTAAGGCCTTTTGGCAGTCATTTGCGTATTTAAAAAAAAGAGTTGCTGGTACTGTATACCATCACAGAAAGGCGCTGCTTTTAAAATTCATTTGTGTGGTATATGCAGGGTCCCAAATATATGTATATACATTCTGTGAATGAAATAAAAAAGTTTTAATAAATGAAACAATGACATATGTCAGCATTGGCACTTAGTGAGTTAAGAAATCTGGCGTAGGCGTTCGAAATGACCGTCGTTAGCTCAGTGGCGCAGTTGGCAGCGCTGAGCAACCGTCTGACAGACGACAATAATATTTTAATGTGTATACATCTTTTTGAGATAGCCAGTACACATACATGTAATTTTTTTGTAAACATGTTATATTTTAAATTGTTTTTAGTTTAAATGTGCGTTGAAATATTTATAGTTCTAAATATTAAGTAAATAAGGCGGAGGAAGACGGCACACCACGCCATATTAACACATTTTCTCATGGGAAAACAGGGACCACTAGAATTTGAGGAAAATAAAATAAATAAATGTTTTGTTATTTTTCTCCATTCAGTGAAAGCTTACCCTCCGTAGTGTTTGATCACATTCGTATGCGCGAGGGAAGGAATAGTTTCACTGTTCACCTACAGGTGCCAGTCTGTGCGTTCGTGCATGTGCCTGAGTTAGAGAGCGAAACAGAGTATTGGCCTCTTTTAAGACTGTCAAGTCGTGCAGTCTTCAGCGCACTGAACGTCAACCAAGTTGATCTTGTGAGTATTTTTCTTTACGCAGGATTCTTGTGTTGGTGTTTCCAGAGAATACGAACGTCCAGTCCGTAGAACCTGTCATCGGACATGCGGGATAAATCCCATTGCTTCTATCAAAATATTTTTGTTATTCTTATACTTATTTTGAAATCCAGATAATATTTAGGAAATAATGGAAGCAATGTGTTACGTTGCTGTGAAATGTATTTAAATGTTGTGGGGCACCAATTTGAGTAGATGCTTTAGTTTGTAGAGTGCTTAAACACGCCAGCTATTTTTATAACTACGCGTGTACTTGTAGATTATTTCTGTCAGTAGACAGTTTCTTGCATTGTGGTTGCTGTATGAAACAAAATAATTTTAATTAAGATCTTATATAATTATTCACTTAATTACAAATGTGATAATATCTACTGACAGAAATGAATGGTAAAACTCCGTGACCTCACTGGCAGTACGTAGGGTACTTATGAGAAGAATTTTTAAAAGTATTTAAACCAATAGTATGCTCGTCGGTTGTGGGTCTTCGAGCTCAATTTATTTTTTGACCGTGACATTGAAGGAACGTGTCGGCCAAATAGATTTTTCACGTGAAGGTACTCAATACGAAGATGACTGATATCAGATATTGTCTGACACGTTTTACATTTGTGGTGGTATCCAAAAGTTTTTAGAATAAATAAAATGAAAACACTTGTTACGTGACCAAACTTTGCTTCCCTTGTGAGTTAACGTACTTGGCCCAGCAATTTTGCCATTGAAGCATGTCTGAGAATCTTTGTCACAAGTAATTGATGCAGATTATGTTGACCGTCCAAAACACCATTAATTCCCTTTCCTTTAAATAGTTTCGTTTTCATCTTTGGAAATGAAGGAGTCGCAGGTAGCAAAATCAGGACTGTGAACAGAGTGCCATTTGGAGTCTTTCTGGTTGACAATTCATGCTGAGCTGGGGAGGCCGTGATGCAGTTTCCGAGCACCTGCATGTGCGAAGTGGGATTTTCCACTCTTGCCTTCCTAAAGAGCACAAAACCCTGAATACGACGTGAGGTGTGCTCTGTCTCCAATTGCTCCCAATTTTGCGGAACTAGTGAATAAGATGGAGCAGTGGCGTTGCACTCATTGGCTGGGACCTACCAAATTTTCTGTGGCTGCTAAAATGTTTAGAGACGCTTAAAATAAAGACATTGCGTCAAAAATATTGTTTCCTTATCTCTTCGCTTGTCATTTATGTTTTCTGTGCAGTTATTGTTTAACCTACATTGGGTAAAAATTACTTTCACATTATCGGTTTTGGGTAATTAAGGAAAACGTTTGGGAAACAGTGTATTAAGTAATTGGCCCGCGAACATTTTCTGACCCGTATACCTCCTCGGGTATCCTGTAATCCAGACAGAAACATCGAAGTTGACCTGCTTCGCGCTCTGTTGGCAGAGACATGAACTAATGTAAAAGATGAGTGAACTGCCGCGCCATGTTTTAAGCTTTCGCCTGGACAAGTGAATTTCTGACTCGCCTTGTCTACGCTGTTAGGGACTAGGACAGCTAAGCGACTAGTCCGCGGGCTTAAGGCCTTGGTTAGATTTTCGGCAGGGCAGGATTTTTCTAAGTAGGATTTGAGGCTATCGCGGCGGAGAGTAAGAAGATAGTTGCTGATCCATGCTGTGTTTAGCATCAACCGTGTGGGGGCAGCAGTGAGAGGTGACTCGGCAGAATTTGAGTTTGGGAAACAAGGGCGCACCTGCCCTATCGGGACTCCCATCGCCCTGCCCTGGAACGCGCATGTCCAAGTCCGCTTCGGGCGTTCACTTTCGAAAATAACGTATGACCAGTTTAGTCGAGATTCGAGAAGTCGTGTCCGGTCGGTGAAATGCCTGACAATGGAAATAACAAGCACCTCTGAAACGTCCGTAAATTTTACAAGACTCCACCGCGCAACGTCCCATTAGGCAGACATCTTCATAGTCGCCGGGCGTAAGAACCTGAAATCTCACCTCGACTTGCTTCAAGAACAGTGGTTCTGATTCTCCCTCAGTTACGTTTCCATTTGTCAAGTATAGAAAATCTTGGTACTGTGTGAGAGCAAAATGTCCTCTGAACCGCAAAAATCCTTATATTGATGTGGGCCTAATAGTTCAAGCGTTTGTGCCTTGTGTACGTTGTGGATTTATGACAAATTAATCTGTCCTCCGATATTTTAAGAGCAAATAACATGGATGTAGTAATGCGCATTTATTAATTAAATGTGAAAATGTACTTCTATGCAACAAATCAACTAACAAACTGAATAAACCCTTTTGTACACATATTTTTTTCCCACTTTCATTTAAATTCAGTAAAACGTAATTTTTTTCAATTTAAATAAAGTTCATTTGCAGTGGAGATGGGACAACGCACGTATGATTCTCTGAACATTGTGTTGGAGACTATATAAAGCATTCTTGCAATTTATAACAAACATACCGCTGCGAAGTTGAATATAAATGATTATGGTTCTCGTTCAGGAACGATTTTTACAGTGTTTGTAAACGCGGTTGACACCCCCAACACCTAACCACTCTATCCCTCGATGCGTGGGATGCACTTTACCCTTAAAATAAAAATTACAGAAACGGTATTCGTCTCATTGACTGTGACAAAGGAATGTAGGAAATACGAAAACACGTAATTTTTATTTGCTGTTGGTAGCCACAAAGTTTCTTTTTTTATACATTGCACATTTATAAATAAATATTTTAAAATGTAAGCTCAACATGGGGAACCGTCCGCTCGTTGGAACAGCCCGCGCTCTTTCGGTTGACCAATGATGCTCGAGTAGTCTCGGGTGACATCGCTTGCTGGGTAAATTATTTGGAAGACAGTGACGAAGCAGTTCTCGTTCGTTTGCAGTTGTCATTTTGTGCTTTTGTTTATTGCTATTTAATTACGTTCATGTTTTGACAATAGACGTTTCCACAGCAACTAAATTATTAATTAGCATGTGTGTGAGGTCTCGTTTCTTTGTGGGGGCAGAGGCGATTGGTTTAACTGTTGGACGCTTCAAAACAAAGACTGGGCCTGCGATGTGAACCTAACGCAGTGCTCATACTCACTTTATTCCCAGAGGAAAGGCAGTGATGGACATCTGTTTCCTGTCGAGGGACTTCTCACGTTTCGGAACAATGCCAAGGACATGACTGCTCATCTCTGTAATGGACAGTGACGTAGTTGTTCAGGTAAGGTTGTCAGCTCTACTTTAATTTGACCTGTAGAAAGTGAATGTTATCATGATGTAACCAGGTCATGGTCTCTGCGTGTACAGGGGTGTACAGTTGTGTTTCTCAGCCGGTGGCCCTCGTTTTGTAATGCGGCGATGGACACATTTTTTTATATTCGTCAGATGATAGAGAAAAATATGGGAGTGCAATGAGACAGTACGTCAGCTATTTATAGACTTCAAGAAAGTGTTTGATTTGGTTAGTAGGGAAGTGTCGTTCAAAATTCCCGTGAAACTACTTCGGCAAATTAAAATGTTTTGAAACTAAACCCGTGGTACAGTCCGTGTAGGTAAACATTTGTCTGACACGTTTACTGTTCGAAATGGTCTAAAATGATACGTCTCATCACCGTTGCTTTTTCAACTTTGCTTTAGAATTTCCAGTTACGAAAGTTAAAAATAGATGGAGCTGAAAGCTTTCTCTGCACATTTAACCTTGAAATGTGCAGGTTTGAGTAATTTTAGTTTATGTTCTAAAATATTAAAGACTTTGATTATATTTTATCCTGCTCGGAATAATATCATTATCGATATTATTCTGAGCTTGTTTTCCGCCTGTAGATCGCGATCTGCACGCGCGTTTAGCGACTTGTGGAATCTTCCTTATTGACATGTGAATGCCTTGAACTGCATCCACGACAACTTTCTAGCCTCGTTCACTCACGACGACATTTTTATTCTGACCGCAACAGACGTACGTCGTGTGTGTATAACCTCACTTTTGATTGGCGAAAATAAAATCTGCTGTAGTTAGAGCAGATCTGCGTCGATCTTTTCCATCGCCCAGTTTTCCAACTGACGCTAAGGCAAACTTAATTTGTTAATTAGACTTAACCTTGTCATTCCAATCCCACGAGCCATGGGATTCTCTGACCACTGTCTTACGTCACGCCCGCGGTAGGAAAACTACGATTTCAGACGCCGGAGGGAACAGTCCGGAGATAATAACGCCGGAAGCGCCGAGGGACGATGCTGGAATTTTGCTATTCAGCAGAAGAATTTGACGTCTTCCTGGTAAGTCAGCTGAAGTACGAGAACTTTGTTTATGTTTAAAGTTCGTTTGCATTTTGCGATAAATCAGTGCGGAAATGTCTTAGCCTTTTCAAGGACGTTGTTAGGTTAGGTCGGGCGTTGTCTTAGTGCGAAGTACCCGTTTCTTCTTCTTATTCTTTTTTAGCGAAAGAATTCTGATTTGTTGTCAGTTCTACTGGCCCTACGTTTTCTGTTCGCGTGTGTTAACTTTCGATGCGAACTTACAAACAGCGTAAATCAGATGGACGAACGAACATGAATCCTCAGTACGAAGTTTTATCAAAACCAGTTCGTCTCTTTTTTAAAGAATTTTTCACAAAAACTGCAAATGTTACTAAAAAGTGCGAATATGTATCGAGCATAAATTCTATAATGAGTTTTTTCCGTGTGATCTTCGTCCGAGACATTTTTCGCGCCGATAGCCGAATTTTGCGCAAATTATAAGCGAGCCGCCTTGTTCCAATGAACCAGAAACAATCGTCCACGCGAGTACTCAGACAGTAAAAGTTCATTAAACTGGGCAGTGACCTTGATTTGGATTCTCCTGGTGGGTACCGGGGATCTTTCTTCGGGATAAAGCTGCCGGGGCGTGAAACTATCCTCTCGCCTCCATCGCCTGCTTAAATGAAAACAGGAGAATCTTTACTTTGTTTTCGTGGTTAAATGTTCCGCAGTACCGCGTTTAGACTGGCCACTGGCTTGCGAGTAGAAGGAAAACCAAAGACATTGCCTCTCGGAAAAAGAATGTTTGTAGCACGGATAGTACACGCTCCCTTATCTGCCGCCCCCTCCGCGTTCCCCTCTGATCACCACGCCTCGAGCCGGCCAACAAACAGCATTTGTGAACACTCGATTTCCAGAACAAGTTTTTCAAGAAACGTGCAGTCTGTTTGGCTTTATCTGGCCTATGTGCGCATGCCCTGATTTCTATAGTTCGTCACCCCCAAACGCACGAATTCGCCCCGATATAATCTGACGAAAAGTGATACGTCATTCAGAGTGTCGATGTTATATAAAGCAGTAATGCATTGCGAATAGATTTAAAAGTGTTTCGCCTTATGCAAAAGCGTGTCATTTCTTTACCTTTATCTCTGAGACAGTAAATACGTAAGCTGTCAGCTGTCTTTATTGTCTGTAGACCGTAAATCACGAGAGCAGCGCGTAATTAAACTACATGACGACATCGAACGTACTCTACTTAGTGAACTTACGAAGTGGAATTATTTATGGTACTGTCGTGTTTAAAAAAATATATGGGCTTCGGTAGAACGACCTTGTAATTTGTTTTAAGTTTCGTAAGAAACTTGTATTTTCGTTAAATTCCCCCAAGTTTTGAGGCCCGCATTTACGAAGTCAGACGAGGGCGGAAAACGAACTTTCGTGACGTGTCGACGCTTCTCTGACGGAGGTACCAATATTTCTGCCGAACACGAACTTTCGTGACGTGTCGACGCCTCTCTGACGGAGGTACCAATATTTCTGCGCAAGACATCGAAACTGGTCCACGTTTATTCCACGGCGTTTTCCTATGTCGTGCCTTGGCCTTGCAATGGACCCATCTCCCGCCAAGCGTCTTAACAAGTCACTTCTCATTTGGAAAAGGTCAGATGACGTAATCCTGTAAAAGCTGGAGGAACATTACGTCTTACAAGAACTCAGATAAGATATCGCAAACTCATGAATTACAATTTATTTGTTGGGTTAAATAATGGTTTCTTAATCTGACGGAGATTAGACTGACAAACTTTATTTTATTATCCGCGTCGGAACAGAATGAGTTTTGGAATCAAGCATTGTTCTCTCGTACAATGGGCTGGGTTCTTACAAAACCTGGAAAAGCGTATGTGTTTGGAAATTTCAGAATGCCATCTTGCGATTTCAATCAAACAACCTGATAACTGTTGAGGCTTTTAAAAGTGGCAAATGGACGTAACTCCTGTTGTCCCGCAAAAGTGATAAATTGCGTTAATATTTTGGTTGCCCTCGCGGCAAGGAGAGCGCGGAATACTAAATTTCGTGTCTGTACAACGGTCCATCCGCCGGCCGAGCGTCAGAATTTGAATCGGAAGCGCGCGCCTCCTTGGGCGTTCGTTGGCCACCAGAGTTCAGTCGCTGCTCGTCGCTCGCCCTCAGTCCAGTCCGGCCGAGTTCGTGTTGTGTGTCGTTTTGCTTCTCAGTAAGAAAGTGAGGACTAAGAAAGATGAAAATATGTTCTCAGGCTCAGCCGTTTAGCATTCAGCGTGCCAACGTCGGACATTCAGCAACACAATGGACGTGTTCACGTTGTGACTGACAAAAGGCAGACATTCCACGTAGTTCGGATATCTGCGAGAAGTGTTCCATTATTGTTATATGAACGACGCTGTGTTGAACTTCTTCAGTGTTATCAGTTATTTGTCATGAAGATTAAAGGATTCTGTGAACTAGCTAGATCATGCCATTTGCGATTTATTGTTCTTTTCTTATCACTGAAGTAGCTTGGAACAGGACCAAATGAAACAATAAATACTTCAGATGTGTGTTGGAGGTGGCAGGAGCGGAGTGGTTTGTTGTAGTTTACGAACAAACTGCCTTAAAGGAAAGCAGAGCGTTTTTCGGCGTTCCACCATCGCACGGTGTTCAGTGGTCGTAGTGTGATGTGTTGTGTCCTTCGCCGTGTTTTGTTTTGTTGACTCTAGTAACAAATACACAAGAAAACAAACAGAGGAAAGTGGTCCTGTGACCATATCGACGGGCTAGTTGTGCGGGATCAATTGCAGAGCGTTGTACTGGTAAGGTGAGTTCTGAAAAGTAAAAAAATTACTAATATTGTTCGTAACAAAACCGAAATCTTTGACATGGTGCGAGTTAAGTAACTGTTTTTGTGGGCTCCTGAAGGATGTGTTGAGCCGCTTGGTTGTTAATTTTGTCTAAAGGGTAACTCGATCCAAAATCGTATTTGTTCCTCATGTTGGGAATTGCAGCCACGTTTTATCGCAAATTAATTTTTATGAAACACGAGCGCAAAATTGCAGTTTTGAGTTCTTTTTTTAAAGCCAAGGCCTTGGCATTGTGCCAGTGTATTCTTCATTTGTCTTTTCGCCAGTTTGAGCAGATTCCAGTACAAACATTTGTAGGCTTGTAGTACGTGTGGACTTGTAGGTAGATACCGACGTTTCGGAGGAACATTCTGCCTCCATCTCCAAAACGTCCTCACGTCGTTACAACCCGGAAGATCCTCACCACAGTCACTCATAAAATTCTTAATGGCTTTGTTCTGCTTATTTGTTACGTGTGCTTAGAAACAGGAAAATTGCGCCATTGAAGGCACTGGGATCACCATCTTCAGCCGTAATGGTTCTGCAGATGGGCGTTCACAGCCCCTTCCTGTCGAATGATTTTGACCGGAAGGGGTTTCGCCGCTCGCCTGACCCATGGGGAGGAGTCCTCTTTCATGAGCGGTGACCCAGACAGGCCATTCGCAAAGAGGTCAAATTGTGCAGAACGCGCCAGAGGTGTTGCGCTGTGCGCTCGTTTTATAGAGTTCTCGACCACGAAGTGCAATCTGTGATTTGCTCGTTATGCTGTGTGTCCAACCCATCAGTTCCTCGTACAAAACGTCAGGTGAGGTTATAGTTTTGAGTTTCTAAACTCGTTGCTTTCAGATGCGCTCTCTTCAAGTCAAACACGCGATTTTACGCAACACTGAATTTTGTTATAAAAAGCGCTGTTAATGCAGATTTTTTATTTGCAAAATGTTTCGGCCAGTGTCGGCTATCTTCAGGTTATAAAACACTAAAAGGAGAACGGGCTTCGTATGTACACGCGCGAGGTGAGGATGTCATTGTTCTGCAGCGTCGAGTGTTTAAGTGCATGGTCTGAGGTCGTTCGTGAAACTTGTTATGCACAACGCGCAGGTCCTTCATTCAGTAGTACCAACGCGACGGATTCTCGAATTCCTGAGACCGAACAGTGACGACGCCATTTGCAATGTTTGTGTTCCGGAAGTACCGGGTTTGAATCTTGTCCTAGATATTGGTGTATTCTGATTTGGGAGAGGGGGGGGTTGTCATAGATCCAGCACCGTGATCTTCCTCAGCAGTAATAATCACGGTGACGCCAGCGAACGTTCCAGAAGTTCCACAGAAAGTTTTAGACAGGCCGAGCAAATCTGATGACGGAGGACGAATGATTCGAAGATGGCTGTCTTCTGGGTTGCGATCGCCCTGATGATGGAGGCAGCAAGGACATCCGAAACGTCGGTGAACTTGTACCAGACTTCACGGCTAAACAACCCAGAAGACGGCCATCTTGAGACTCGCTACTGTGCAAACCTCAAATCCTACTGTGGATGATGATTCATTCTAGTGCGTCATTCGAGATGTTTGGTTCCACTGGTGTAAATAATGGAATGGACTCTGCTTCGCTATTACAAACAAACAAATGAACTTCTTAACTAAATTTAACGTCGGGCTAAATGAAATGTAGGTCTGTTCTAGACTTTGCACTTTGAAATTTATAAAAACTAACACCACAGCCTTAAGTTATGTGTAAATTTTTTAAATTATTTGTATAAATTTTTTTAGAAGTCGGTGAGAACTTTCCGAAAGTCGCCTTCTGTTTCTTCTTAAGACTGTACATTGGCACGTCAGGTCTGTTTCGAAAAAAAAGAAGAGAGTATATAAACGTTATTTTGAGCATCCCCGACCGTCTGAGAGGTATATTTAATACGGAGCTGTTCTCGACGTTTCGGCATTTGGATCTTCTGGCAACTTCAGTTGATTTGCCGTCATCAACACATTCTTTCTGACGAGAATGGACGCCACAACAACTTTTTTGTGCGGCTATAAAGTCGGGCGTCTTGTTTGAGAGAAAAATACTGGATCGGAGGCACCGGACAGCGGGAACTGCCCAGTTCTTTCATAGTCCCTTACCAGTCAGTCAGCGTGTAGAGAAGACGTAATTTGCAAGAATTTGAAAGGCGGTCGTCCTGACGTTGGTAATATTTTCTTGGAGGACTGTACCGGCGAACTAAGTAAACACACGTCGACCCGTGTGCGTGCGTGCTATAATCAGAAATACGAGTTGGGTTTTGCTGTTTAACATCGTCCGACTTTTCTACTTGGCTCTGCGGTTTCGTAACCCCTGCTCAAGAAACTGCTTGTAATTCATCGTACTCAGCGCAGAGACAACTTCAGCTGGTCTTCGTCCGCGTGTTGTGTGTCTGGGAAGTTTTTGATTCTGTTTGTCGTAGCTCCTCGCGTGGCAGTGCAGACTTGTGACGACACCTAAGACAAAATGGCAACCCCACGTACGTCCTACCTCTTACATTTTACTGATGTAAAACGCATTATTATTGGATCAGCGACAGTTTCAGGACTGCGTAAGAAGGGACGAAGGGCTTTTGAAGTGTTGATGGATTGCCGTCCTAAAGCATTTTTCTCTTGTAACCCCCGTCAACATCCGACTTGTTAAACTTACTAATCGTCTAAACCTGAATCCGCAGGAGTTGGGAGAGGTAGAAAATACACGTGCCTTGGTTTACACGGCTTCAGAACAACGCATGTCCGACACCGAAAGACCACTGATCACTGCTGTCGGCAGAGAATGTGGGGGAAATGCATAACGACGACGACTTAATTACGCATTCTGCGATGTCTGTGCGCGGAAGAGGGAAGATGAGTTGCCTCATCACCCATCAAGGGCCCGTGTTCTGTGCCGATGTCTAGGAAAGTCCGTGTCCTCCTGAGGGCGGTCGAGAGAAAATGGCGGATGTTGCATCGGAAGACTGCGAAATACCGCTAAGTTCGTCAGTGATACTTGACGCGAAAGGGGGGGGGATCAGCCAGTGTCTGCGTGGCAGATTGCCGTGCATGTGAACAGCGAATGTCCGCTGGTGAGTACAAGAAGCTGTGACGTCGTGGAACCAATGAAGGAGGATTAGAAATACTCGTTTGAGTGCCAGGATTCCGGTGCAGTGCTTACGCCGAACGGAGGGCCTAATTTGTCGGCCTTCGAAGCAGCGGGAATGGGCTTAAAGTCCCCCCCCCTCCCGGATTTGGGGTTCGTTTCACGCGAAATTCAAAATTGGTAGTTCGGATTCACCGAAGTGGTAATGGCTGACCTCTGACTCATCAACGAGCAAACGCCGTGGCAGCAGAACGTGAAGTTTGAACGTCACTGATACCAACAGCTGCATTCCATGCGATCGTGAGCAGTTCCGCCAACCTTTCATTCCAGCCGTCCATCTCCCCCAAGACCCAATTTCACCCTCTCACGCCCTTTTGGCCGTCGAAGTGGGCAGTAATTATTCCATCCATTCGCCATTTTACAGGGCGTTTACTTCTAAGTGCCTGAGGAAAACCTTGCCCCTGAGGTACGTAGTGCAGCAGCTGTTTCCGAAATAAATTTCGTCTTTTAAACAGATTTCGCGCGAGGCTTCCTTCTGTATTTTGCATCGGCGTCTTTCGAATGATGTTTGATGTTCGTAGAATGACAGTTTTCCGAAGTTCCCTAATGTCGTGTTCGCTCGGGATGTTGACCAAATATTTTTGAGTGATTTCTTAAAGAAATAGAATGTGCTGCTCTGTGGATCTACTTACTTCCTGTAGAATAAAATAATTCTTAAATCATTCATGTACTGTTATGTTGTAAACATTACTCTTCAGTTCCTATTACAACATGAAACATAAAGCAGGATGCTGTTTTGACTGTAAAATACGAGGTTTCCTTAATTTCCCGTTAACACGTTGCGTTCAGGAACTGGGGCAGGACTTCCACGGCAAACATCACTTCAGATATCCGTAAACAGCAACGGGATCTCTGGCGACAGACCACCGGACTACTCATACCCAGAACTACCACCAGTATTCTCACCACCGCCTCCGTACGAAGTAGGGTAGTCTGAGAAAGTGTCTGGGCACGCGGAACTTGTCTTATGCAAATGACAGTCAGGACGAGATGCAGAGGCTCAGAACGTTTACTCAAACCATTAAAATAGCAAATAGACGTACCAATGCCCACTTATCAGATGTTACGTCTGTTCAGCAAACTGCAACACATTTGCTGCTTACAAGAGGAAAGGACCTAGCGGGGCGCGGGGCGCAGGCTCCCAAATATACCCTTGGCCTTGGGAAATATGACTGCTTAGGTTGGATACCCTGCGTGCAGGCTGGCGAGCCAAATTTCTTGACTGTATGAGACACTACTAGCTTCTCAGGAGTGATGATGTGGGTAATAGTAAACGCCCAAGTTAAAGTTGCCCCTGGATCCAGGAACCGTGAAGACATTCTCGATTATACACCTCAACCGAGGGTGGGACGACGACATGAATGACCCTGACAAGGGTTGAACCCAGTCCCTTGCCGATTCAGTCTTTTTAAGCCGCACTGATTTTAGGACAAAATGGCGCTGAATCGGCCTTCATTATTCCCATCGCACAGTTAGGTTAGGTTAGGATAATTAAAACGTGTAGGTAAACATTTGCCCGATACATTTCCTACTCAGTATGGCCTGAAACAGGGAGATGCTTTATCACTGCTGCTTTTTAAATTTTTGCCTTCGAATATGCCATCGGGAAAATGAGGGCGGTTTTTGAATTGAATGGGACGCATCAGCGTCTGGTCCACGCTGATGATTTTTATCTGCTGGGCGGTAATATAAATACTCTAAACGCGAACTCAGAAGCACTCTTAAGGGTTAGTAGGGATGTTTGGTCTGGAAATAAACGCGGGAACGAGAGTACGTGATCATGCCTTGGCATCAGAATTCGGGACAGAACCAGAATGTAAGGATAGC